AAAGGAAAACTACCTTTAAATAACTCCAAATATCAGTCAACAACGCATTCTCCCAACATACAACCAACCAGGGCAGAACTGGCAAGAGCTGAAGGTCACAAGAATCAGCCTTTTGCCTGCAATTATGCTGGGATCCTAGGAAGCTCTTAATACTTTTCAAAATAGCTGTGCCTCCATTAAACTATCTAGAACCCTCCACTCTTTCTTCTCAAACCAAGAGTAACTGCGTCTCATCTGCACAGACCTGTCTACATGAAAGAGAGGCGCACTCTCATTTGATGGATGGAACTTCTGCAGTTCCATGCACAGACCCTCTGACCTGGAGAGACTGGCGCCCCCACAAGGTTAAGCTGAAAAACACAAGTAGAGGACAAACCAGACTTTTCCCTCTTTCCGAATCCTAGGCTGCTCTTGGAGAAGCAACTCCACGAAAACATACAAAGGGCTGAGGCCTGGGAACCCATCTCGCTGTTACTGAATGCAGTCCCCTTCCGACGGCGCCCTTCCGGGGATGACAGGCAGCATGCAGTACCGCCATTTTTGAAATTCCGCAATAACCGCAGAAAGCCATCTGAGAAACATAACATTTTAATAGAGGAAATAAATACTCCAGTACATGCAAGGTAAAAACTTGACATTGGGGGGAAAAATCACTCTATATAGTGTAAATCAGAAAATAAAACACACACTCACAGTAGATTCCCCATTTGCAAATCACATGGCAAGGGCAGACTCTTTCCACACCAAGTATATGCCTCATCCGACTTAAAAAAGAACAACATACAAAAAAAGGTAGCTACATCCATGTCTACGGAGTGAAAACTGAGGTAACCATTCTTTTAATCAGAAAAGACCAAAAAAGAAATGAACCCATGACTTCCTTCCTGCCCAATTAGTTAATAAAGTTTGGTTGAGGGATTCCTGAAGAGGAGCTGGGGTGGGGTGGGGGTAACCCCGCAACGGCGGATTACACGTCTTCAGTCTCCAGGTCCCTAGGCTGCGGGGGCTGCTGGGCACGGCCCGAGTGTGTGTGTAAACTGGATGCATGGCCCTGCCTTCGGGAAGATCCTCCGAGCATTTAACGTAGGGGGTGGGAGGGAGCTTCACCTATGATTTCTTTGGTATAAATGGAGAGGGGCAGACAATAAGTATTTTCCTTTAGCCTGGGGGTAGAAAAAGGGGATGGGGTGGGTAAAAGGGGGTGCTAATTCACAGAATTGGAATTCACTGGCGGTAAAGTCCTGGGCGAAGACCTCTCCCTTAAAGCCTGAGATAGCAGGGTGCAGCCTTCAGACACGGCGCAGGCCGAGTTCCTCAGCCTCTCCCTGTGGTCCGACATCTTGGCGCCCCCATCGGGGTGCTGCGCCAGATCCCTGAGGCACTGGGTCAGGAGCACGCAGGCTGACACCACGCTCATGGCACCACCGAGGATGGCAGTCTGCACGGCCTTGCCCTCAGAGCTCAAGGCCGCTGCGCGACCCAGGAACTGTGGCTCGGTGGCGAAGCCCACCAGCGCGCTCACCGCCTGCACCAACGGCCCGCTAAAGAGCGCGCAGCGACTGCGCGCCAGCTCGCTGGGCGCCATCTTGACCTCGCGCACGCAGGCCAGCAGCGCGGACGCGCTCGTGCTCATGCACTTGACGCCCAGCTTGAACTGCTCGCGTGCAAAGCGGTCCCGGGACTTGTCACTGGCAAGGGCACACGCATCTGTCAGGAACTTGAGGTTGCGAGACAGGCCCTGCGACACCTCCAGCAGCAGCTGCGGGGTCATGTCGGCCAGCGGGGTGGCGCGCAGCATGGCGCAGCCCTGCTCCACCTCGTGGCGGCAGCGAGTTACACGGTAGCGGTCCACCAGCCCCGGCTGTGCGGGCTGCGCACCGGGCGTGGCCACTGCCGCCAGGTAGGCCGCGTGGGCAGAACATTCCGTCAGTGACACCACCAGATCGCCCAGTTCCAGCAGGCTGTCTCCCGCCTCTCCGAAGCGGCCCATGTTGAGCTGGCTCTGCACGTCGTGGGTGAGGATGGAGAGCTCCTTGGTGCGTGCGATGATGGTGTCCCGGCACTGCTCAAAGGACTCGGCGCCTGCGCCGGTGGAGGTGGGACCCTCGCAGAGCACGGGCCTGGCCTCGCTTGACAGCAGTAGCAGGTCGGCCACCAGCTGCATCTTGCCCTTGCACTGGTCACACACGGACACTAGCCTTTTCCGTGGCTGTGAGCTGGTCCCGCCGACGACGCTCGTAGGAGCCGTAGGAGCCGGAGAAGCCGCCTCGCCGGTGGGCTTCCCAGCGCTGCCGCTAGCCATCGCGCCCGGGGGGCACTGGCATACCGCTGGGGAGCCCGCTACCGCCTCCGCTGCCTCTGCCGCCGCCCCCACGGCCGTCGCGACTCAGCTGGCCAGGGCCGCGGTGCCTTCCCCGCACCATCATGCCATCCACCGCCGCGGGCGGAGGGCGCGGGGCGGAGGCGGCACAGGGGAACGCAGTAAGCTCTTCGAGGTGTGGGGCGGGACTGTGGCGTTCGGTTTTCGGGAGGTCTTGCTGGAACCATGAACTGAGCACAGCAAACTCACAGTACTCGCTCCTTGTCGCTGGGCCGCCAGGAAAGTCCCTTCTGCCGGGCCGCGGCTGCCGCCTTTCTGGGCATGGCCCGGCCGGCCGGCCGCCGGAGCGGGAGGGCGGGAGGGGAAGCTGGGAGTTGTCCTTCCTTCCTTCCTTTCTTTGAAATCAAAATCCCTTCCTCAGGGAGGAGCGCGCGCAGCGGCTCGGGCAAGCTCTGCTGTCAACCTCCTCGGCTCTGCGGTGCACGTGGGCTTTAGGCGCCGGGACCCCGCCCGGCGGCACTTCCTTGCGACGGCGGCCGCCGAGGGTGGCGCTTGGGGACGCGCGGCCGCCCCGGGGCATCTCCTGCCTCCGGCTCTCGGGAAGCAGCCCGGAGGCAGCGGTGGGGCCGAGGGTGTGGCCGGTGCTGGCGCGGCCTCTCGGAGTCAGTCGGGCGGGAGCTGCACGGATTGCGCACAGAGGCCGCTTGCTCGCGCTCTGCCCGCGCCTGCCCGCCACGCCCGGCAGCCCTTCCCGCCTCGAGACTCACAGTGAGCGGCCCGTTGCTCCGGCGGCACGCCCTCCGGCCCCTCGCGCCCAGCGGCCCGCAGCTGGCTGTCGGCGCAAGTCCATGCCCGGCGCCTCCTCGCCTCTGGCCCGCAGCGGCTCAGCTCTCCTGGGACCCTGGGCCCTGTTCATCGGACGCTCTGTACGCGTGTCCCCAGCGGCCGGACCAACTCAGAAGGTACCCGCGACGCTGCGGCCACCCTCCCGGGCCCCGGCTCCTGCCATTTTTGTCAACCTCCAACTTCCGAGCGAGCCGGAGAAACTGAAAGGAAGGGCGGGGGCCGAAAGGCAGAGGGAAACGCCGCCTCCTCCCCGCTCTGCACCTCGGAGCGCGGCCGTGGGCGCGCCGCCCGCCCGCCCGTGGGGCTGCTGGAGGATGTCCTAGTCCCGGCCGGCCTCGCCCCCGCTCCCCGCCGCTGCCTCGGCCGCAGCCTCCCTGGAGCCTATAGAAATCTTTTGTGTGGCGTCACCGCCTTTCGTTTAAATCCCGCTTCCTCCTCTCGTCTTCCTCCGCCCCCTCGCCGCTGCCGGATGCTTGCGCGATGCGCTGCTCCTCCCCCGGGAAGCAGGCGGCTGCAGGAGCACGCCCCCGCCCACTCGGACGCCGGGGCCGGGCCGCTAGTCAGGGGCCTCCCCGCGGTCCCCGGGAGGGGGGAAGGTATGGAGGCCACCGGAGCCAGGGCTCTGCGCGCGCGCCCTGGGGAGTTGGGGCGCCGCCGCCAGTTGGCCTTACGTAAGGGTTCAGCCAAGCAGGGGCTCCACGCGCTCTCCCCGCCCAGGGACCAGGTCTCAAAGGTGACCTGTTTCATGGACTAGCGGGAGGACACTCGGTACCATCTGCTAATGACTTGCTGGAGTCCAGTCTTCTCATTTTGCGGGACACCGTCCGGATTTCCAGACACTCCCCTGGCCCTTTGTGTTGGTCCTCTCCCACGGCGGGGTCTGAGGAGCCGAGAGGAGGGAAGCGCACTGGGCGTGGAGCCCCAAGAGCGCAGCTGGCAGCTTGCCGCGCCCTCCCTTTAACTCAGGGTCCCTTAGGCAGTTAGATCGCGGGCTCCGAACCACATTTCCTGGGGTCCCTCCCCCCACCCACTTATCAGTTGTGAGCTAGTGCAAGTTTTCTCTCCAAGATCCGTTTTCTCGTCTTGAAATCAGATATTCGGCACTGCCTGCTTGAGTACTTGGCTGGTAAAGAGTAGCTGTCAGGGTGAGCCTTGATTGGCACAGTTTGCCCACCCCTCTCCCATGCCCTCTAGGGCCCCCCTGCATAAGGGGTATCCATCGTGGCCAAGCTTTTGGAGGGAAACATTCTGCCTTAAGCACCTTCCCAAGGTCAGGAAGGCGGCATACGCCAGGCGAGGGGCCCACCAACCTCTTTTCATTTCACCTGGGGCCTTATTTTCCTGAAAGTGGTTGAAGCACCTGGGCTACTCCCCCACCTCAGTCCTGAAACAGGCCCTCTAGGTGCCTGGCCAGCCACAGGTTGGTTGTGTGTAGTCAACAGACACACTGGTCCCTCTGTCCCTTTCTGGGACCTGGAGTTGCCTTTTCAGCCAATTGTCATTGTTACTTGTAACTAGGATGACTTTGCAGTTTATTATCCAAACCGAAATACAGCGAGACACACTATTAATAAATTAACCAGGCATGACAGATACAAACCTGAGTGGGCAAGTCACCCTACTGAGAACAGGTTTGCTTAGATGCCTTGCAGACTCTAGGTAAGCTCTCTCATTTTGCAAACACAAGGCTGATGAAACCATTTTTGAAACAAGCAACAACTTTGTAGGATTAGTCCTTTATATTTGTAGGAGGAAAAAACAGTTGGCTAAGTCAGGTTCCTTCCACGGTTACCCAGGAGTAGCACCTTAGTCCCACATAGCTCCCGAAACTTACCGGAAAGGAGTCAAACTCATCCTTCTGTGCCGGGTTTATTCGTGAGACAGCCTTGGAATCAGGATTTTCCCCTGCAAAGCCGCTGGGTACCTTAGGGCCCTGTTTCCTTTTCCCCTGTGCGTGCAGCCTGTGTTGCTGCTGCTGCAGAGTTTGCACCCAAGCAATGAGCTGTGTTGCTCGGACTGTCCCAGTGTATTCCGTGATGTTTGGTTCGGCATTAAAAATTTGGTAGACACGTTTTCTTGGTCCTCATTGCTTCATTTTTCAGACAGGGCAACTTCTAAACTGGTCTTTGGAGGTTCCACCTCTGCCTTCCTTTAGGGCACCTTTACTTTATGCCAGCTGTCACTCGCTCCACGTGCTGGGCCGCTATCGTGTGCCAGGCCCTGTCCCAGGCATGTAAGGAATATGAGGGCTTTACCCCTTCTAGAGAGTAAAGGGAGACAGCGTCTCAGAGCCACACTGACAGGAATCACAGTCTCACTGTTGTTGGGACAGTGAGAGCACGGAGTACAGAAACGACAGCAGACAACACTGCTTACCAAGTCATCTGGTTGCAGCTCAGCAGGTTTCACGTGACTGATGCCAACAGAAGTTAAATGGGAGTGATGCTTGGCACTCAGGCGGTGAAGGGCTCGTCTGTAATTCTCCAGTCTCTCTTTCCCTGCTGCAACCACTCCAGAGTCTATGTTCTAGATGTTGGGGCCAGAAGGTGACAGAGTGTCAGGAAGCCTGGCCATGGGGAAGACCCTCCACTGACCTGTGTTGGGCATAAAATGTGAGCAAAAGTAAATTCGGTGTGAAGTCACGGAGACCCAAGGGTTGTGGCTGTAGCATCCATTCATTAGTAGAGGGACTGTGTCTAGCCCTGTGGTCACGGGAGTAAGGGCATTCTCTTTAGAGTCAGCAGCCATTACCCCTTCTACCCTCTTTTAAAATTAAACTATGAACCAAAGGCACTGTGCAAAGTAATTTTCATTAAAATGGAAAAGGAGGGAGGGAGGAAAGCCGAAAGCACGTAGCCTGAAGGACTGGCTGGGGGAAGGCGAGTGGAGGAGTGCACATGCGGAAGCTGGGGCCGTGTGGGGAAGAGCTTGGCCACTGGAGGACACAGGCTCTGGCTCAAGGCCACCACTTGGTAGGAACTGAACTGAACAAACACATGAATGAATGAGGTGCACATAGAGAGCTGAATTCAGGAAGGTTTGGGGAGGGACTCACGGGATGTGGGGGCAGGCAGGCGGGGAACCCTCTTCCTCTGTCCTCGCCTGGGCGACTTGAAGCAGGTGTAAGACAGCAGTGTGAGTGCCCTGGTTTGTTTATTTTATTGTGGTGAAACATTTGAAACATACAGTTTACCATCTTAACCGTTTTTGTGAACTTACCCATTCTGTGCCAGCAAGTATCACACATCCTCACTGTTGTGCAGGCGTCCTCGCCATCTAGCCCAGAAATCTTTCATCGGCCCACAGTGAAATTCTGTGCCCACTAAACAGTAATTCCTCCTTCCCTTCTCCCCCCAGTCCTCGAATCCACCATTCTGCTTGCCGTCTCTGTAAGTGTGATGCTCTAGGTAGCTTATATAAGTGGAATCATACAGTTTGCATCCTTGTGTGTCTGACTTATCCGTCTTCGAGTAGTTTCTTCAAGGTTCATTGATATTACGGCATGTGCTGCAGTCTCCTTCCCTTTGAGGACTGAGTGACATTCCACTGTATGAGTAGGCACGCTGCGTTCTGACACCAGCTTTTGCGTTGCACTCCAGCCTTGCCAGACCAACAACCCAGCTGTGTCCGGTCTACAGTGCCACCTGGCGGTCACTTGGGGGCACTCTCTGCCCCAGTGTATCCTTTTGAGCCATGTCCTGTTCTGTGTTTGGGCTCCTAGACTGGCCAATTCACTCTCGGGCAATCTTTCTTGCCCACAGCCAAACATCACACTTTGTCATTTTGCTTTCAACACAGCCTTTTAAAGGATAGGAATTTATAGCTGGAAAGTGTGCATTTCCCCTCCCTTTCCCCTGATGCACTCATCTGCATGGGTGGTGAATGAGAGTCCGACAGTCAAGGGACCAGTCAAGGGACAGTCAAGGTTCATTCAGGAGCAGGGTCACTGTGTGACAGGTCACTGCTTATTCAGCATGTCCTCCTGCTCTCTGGCATGTTGTGTGCGCACACAGTAAGGACACGTGGGCAGGATGTCACACATCGGTCCTGTGTCTGCCCCCTCTACCCCCTAACCACCCTCCCTGCTGTGTCTCTCTGTTCACCTGAAGCTAAGTGGGTGAGGGAGGCCTGCGGCAGGACTGGCTCTACTGTGGCAGGCGCCCCTGAACGTCCAGGGCCCCAAACCTAGGAACTCTAGAATTTTCTCCAATCTGGTTTACTAGAAGGCCCTGCATGGAGATGAAGCTTGCTTTCACAAAGAAATTCTTTACCAAGTTTCCTTACTGGTTAATGAACTTTGGATGCATTTTTCATTTTGAAGAATCTTGTAAGGGAGAAAAATTTCAAGGCAATATTGCAATATTATAGATAATTTGAACTAAGTGTATTATTCTGGGAATCTCCATTGAAATTAGATTTTTTTTTTATCTTGGTGAGGAGAACAGGATCAATCAATATTTTGGAGGCATCAGCGTGTTTAGATGCCTCTTGCCCTTTTAAAATACAACTGACTTGAAATACCACTGCTTACGGTTTCCTCATATTTAAAATAGGGAGGTTAGTGTCATGATATTATCCCTTCAGGTCTTAACTGCCAGTGATCTATGTATGGTTTATCTCTGCCAGTCTGCAAACTCTTTAGGGCAGGGACCTAATTCTATCAACATTTCCATCTATGTCTCACCTGGATTGTGGTTGAGAATAGACCCTTACTGAATAAATTGTCAAAGAGTTGAACTGAATCATAAGTTCCAAATGCCAAAATAGTAAAAATGCAGTCAGTCCTGATGTTTTCACATCAGTGCGTTATAAAATGAATTTCTTCTTCACGTGAAACTCGGTAGCCTTGGAATTTTTTATACAATCCTAACAATTTCTATCAAACACTAAATGACTTTTTTTTCCCATATAACTAGATACTGTGGCCCCAGATTCCCGGCAATTCTGCACCTTCACTTGGCAGCTGGCAACATGAATGACCAGGGGGACCCCTCCCAGCAGAGCACATGATCGAGCACAGCTGTGCGTGTTTTTTAGCATGACTGCACCAGGACAGGGCTCGGAGCCACTGGGTGGAGCAATACACCCTGGGGAGAAAGCTTATGACATTTCCCCTATGATTTCAAAAAAGAAAAGAAAAGAAAAACCCTCTTTTTCTTAGGAGTTGTTTCTGCTCAATGTCAGTAGAAAAGGTCCTAGCGTGTGTACATGTAGATGCATGTGTGAATATGTACTGTATCAGAATCTAAACTGCAAAGGTCCTGGACTGAAGGTCAGGCAAACATTGTTAGCTAGTTGCCTTGTGAACACCCATTACCTCTGCTCCCTCGATAACAGAATCCCAATTTTATTGGGGGGACAGTGTATCTAGCTAGAAGACAGTTTGCCAGCCTACCTTTGGAGAGCTAGGTTCTAGCCAATGAGATGTACACAGAAACGCTGTATGGCATATCCATGCAGGCTGCTTCAATGAAGCTGACTCCATTGAAAGGGAGGTTCCTTTTGACCTTTCTTCCCCCTGCCTCCAGATGAAAGTCAGCTTGATGGCTGGAGCTCCAGCAGCAATTTTGCAACTTGTGGTAACCTTGAGGATGGAACAGGATGACAAACGGACTGGGTGCCAGCTGACTGAAGAGCCACAATGCCAGCTCTAGATGCTTAGTTTCCATCTGCTTCTGTGAAAGAAAAACCAAGCAATCTCAAAGACCTTTTTCTTGTCTGAAACACTTAAAAAAAAATTCAGTGTTCTGTTATGTACAACCTATTATTAATCCTGTCCAAGCAAGGTATCCAGTTTGCTCAAGCTGCCATAACAAAGTATGACAGACTGGGATGCTTAAGCAACAAAAATTTATTTTCTCGCTGTTCTCTGGAGGTTAGAAGTTCCAGATGGAGGTCTGGCCAGCGTCGGTTTCTTCCCAGACCTTTCTCCTTGGCTTGTAGAAGATGGCTGTCTCCTCCCTGTGTACATGACAATGGCCACATTTTCTCTTCTTACAAAGACACCTGTCCTGTTAGATTAGGGCCCACCCTAACGAACTCTTTTTCACTTAATCTCCTCTTTAACGACCCTGTCTCCAAATGCAGTCACATTCTAAGGTATTGGGGGGTTAGGGCTTCGACCCAGGAAATTTGGAGGGACACGATTCAGACCCTAACACAGGCACAAACAAAGGGTTTATCGTGGCTCTTTTTAAAATTTTGGTCACCATAGAAAAATTGGTAATAAATGTCTGTCAGGAGTGTAGTTAGGAAATAAACCATTGGGATATTGACGCTAAACCATATGTTAATTCTGTATCTCAGGCTAAAGAATAAAAAGCTCATCACGTCTGATCATTAAGTGGGAGAGCATGAAGGAGCCAATATGCTCGCCAATTTGCACAGTGTGCTGCCAGAAACCTGTATAAATGCAACAAAACCGCCCCTGGAGCCACTTCGATGCTTGTAACTGTAAAAAAACGTGCCTAGTATGTGACAAAACGACACTTGGTGGGCGCGGAGCAGGGCTGGGGATTGTGGGGTGGAGGAAAATATTTGGAACTTTGTAGAAAATATTCTGCCATGACGATAAGTGATTCATGTCTTCCTTACATAGTTAAAAATTTGGTAATTGAACGACAATAATTTTTTTTAAAAAAGGGATGACTAAAAAGCAAAAAAAAAAAAGAAGAAGAAGAAGAAGAAGAAGAAATCAGCCGACCTCTCCTTTAAAAGTCGAATTTCAAACCACCTCTGGCAAAAAACCTTTTTAAGAAACTAAATCGAATGATTCAGCCTTCAAAAGGATGAGTCAGTCAGTGCCTACAAGATTTGGTGAACAGAAGAGATACTGACGATACTTTTTAATAAAAAGTAATGTTTTTTAAAGCTATTTCGAGTTGAAGAGATGACAGGAAAGCTGATGATTGAATCCTCCAAACGTAACTTTTTAAAAGCGTTTTCGAGAGTCTGAGAGCTGACAGGGAGGCTGGAGCTGATGGGGCCGAATTCCCCTCAACTGAGCAGCAAAGCGGGGCCAGCCGTTAAGCTGCGCAAAAGTTCCCAGAAAGTCCACACCCGTCGCGGGAGGCCCTCGGGAAGCGCCTGACTCCGGGCGAACCGGGCTTTCCTGCAGCTGAGGCAGCGCCAACTCACCTCACAGGCGAGACCCTGAGGCCTCGCGAGGCGCTGAAGAGCGTTCCCGGAGGCCCTGAGGGAGCTTTTGGCCCCGGCCCTCGCGCTGGAGAGAAAAAAGTCGTCCCTCTGGCGGAAAAGGAGCAGGAGCGCAGCATGGGTGCGCCCCTGGGCTGTAGCAGCCACAGCGGGACTAGGGGAGGAGTCTCGGGGCGGGACAAAATGGCGGAGGGGAGGGACTTCCAGAGAGGACGGGGCGGGGCCTGGTAGGCTTGCGCCCTCCAGCGGGTGGAGCCATCAGGGCCTTGGAGCCGGAGGCGTGCACTGGACCGGGTCCGGAAAGGGGAGTTTGGGCACAGGGCCGGCGGCTTGCGCAAGCGCAGCCTAGCGGCGACGCGGTGAAGATGGCGGCCTCCAGCTGGGTCCGCGCGGCCGTGTTCCTACTCTGCGCCTCTGATCTGCTGCTGCTGCTATCGCCTGGGGCCGGTGCGGACGAGGGCACGGCCGGTAAGCCCGGCGAGGCTGCTTCCCCTCCCCCGAAGAAGAAGAAGAAGGACATTCGCGATTACAATGATGCGGACATGGCGCGTCTTCTGGAGCAGTGGGAGGTCCGCGGCGCGCGCACACCCTAGGGCTTTGCTCTGTTTTGGGCCCCGCTACCCCTGACCTCCCACCCCCTCAGGGTTACTGTCTTCCAACCCCCTAACCTCCTCTCTGCTCGTGCCGCGAGTCCTTACTGATCCCCTCGAGCCACCGGTGACCCTCCGTCCTAAACCCCGATTCCCTCGCTCTGTCACCACCCACCCAGGCCTCTATCTCAATGCCCCGGTCTACCTTTCCTGGGGGCCTTTCCAGTCACGGGTGTGCCTCGCGTGGAGCCTTAATTTACTTGTAGTGCCCTGGTCGCCACCCCTACCTTGCTCCCCGTGATCACTGAGCCCTGCCAATGGCAGGGAGAACTTTCCCATTGTATTCATGAAGAATGGGGTGAGTGGGTGGTGAGTGCTGTAGTCGGGGTTACTTTTCAAGAGGGTCAGCTTCAGATTTAGTAGTTTTCTCGTCTTTCAAATCAGTAAGATTTCAGACTTCCCATTTGGGTACATTTCCCTAATGAGAGTTTTGTAATTTGGGGGGTGGCTGCCCTGGTCATCACAGACTAGTGGCTTTCATGGAACTCACATCATTTCATTGAAAGGAGCAATGACTTCTTGTGAGAGTAAGCTTTCTGAATGTGCTGTGGTGCGTAATTACAGGAAGTTTGTAATAAGCTTTTCAGATGAAAGTTCTCTAGCCAAAAACACATTGCTGCCTTTTCCCCATCTAAAGGTGGCTGTGTTGTCTCATTAACCTAGAGACAGAAATTAGGATTCCATTCATTGTCACCTTGGGCAAGTCAGGTCTCCTCTCTAGGGCTCAGGTTCCTTATCTCCAAGATGAGATTCTTTCCAGTGCTGATGTTTCATTATTTTATGGTTCTCTCTCTGTGAGTGTTTGATAGAGACTTTCAGAGGTGAGTTTAAAATACCATCTGGTGCACTTGAGTAGCAGAAAGCAGGCTGTATTTTCATTTGGGGTACAGGGGAGGGTGTGGAGACCGCTAAGGAACAGAGAACGTAACGTAGCACTTCCTTCCCAGTTTACCATCTCCCTTGCAATCTCCCTGTCTCTTTCTGGACTCCAGCAAGTGAAGCTTTTGGTCTGCCAAAGTGAGAACACTGTCTCATGAGGAAATCCTACCCCAGAAATACTTAGAGCCTGAGCTGGAGAAACGGGCGCTGCAGAGATGAACAGGGGATCCAGCCACTGGAAACAGAAGATAACAATAAAAATAACCATAACACAAAGTTGGCGTTGCTGATGCCTTAAAAAGAAAGCGCTGTGGGAATCTCGCAGGGTTTCAGGGAGGAAGTGGCATGTTAATAGGCAAGAGAAGTGTGGGAGAAGGGCCTCCCTAACTGAGCAGCGTGAGCAGGAGATGGGAAGTGCAGGAACTGGGCAGAGTGTGCACATTATTAATGGCCTGGCTCTGGAGTTAGACCACCTGGGTTCACACCATTCAACTTGTGAGTCTGGACTGGTAGAGAACCTCCCTGCACTTTAGTTTCCTCACCTGCAAAAATAGACGTGTTAGTAGTATCCATGTAGGTAGTTCTGAGGACCAACGGAGAAAACATGGGAAGAAGCAAGAATGCTGCAGCTCTGATCATTCGCTCTGATGATATAAAAATCTGTCACTCGATGTAAATTAGTTTGGTTGTCTCGAGTAGACAATGTCTGAAGCAAAGTAGTGAGAAGTAAAGACATTGGGAGCTGGGTCACGCTAGGCCTTGGGTGCTGTGGGGTTTGGGCTTCAGAAGGAACTATACGTCCCTGGTGAGTTGAGAAGTTTGAAAAGTTGGAATGTTTGTATTTAATCATTCATGCTCCCATCCCCCAAACGTTTTCTCTTTGAAGTGCCCTTCTGTATGCAGACATAGTTTTTATATCAGAAAACATAGCATCGGTGAACTTTGTTTGTTTTTCCCATAAGGGTTCAGAATATACCTTGGAGTGGATATTTCGGCTTTTGAAGGTCTTTGAATAGTGGAATATCATGCTTAGGGCTATACTTGAGAAAAATTAATCAGTCGGTAAAGTTTAGGATGGCTGGTCAGAGAGAGAATCTGAAGGCAGAGACAACTTAATATTTATTGAGTGTTCATAAGTTGTGAGAACTACTGTAACCATAGTATGTCATTTATCCTCTTACCACATTGGTGAGGCAACTATGTATCCCTGTTTTCTAGGTGATGACATTGAGGCCCAGAGAGGTAAAGTAACTTGCCCAAGGTGGCACAGCAATTTAGTTGACTCTCCAGTTCAGCCAGTTTAAAGGTTGTTGTTACAACCATTTTGCTACACAGCCGTACACATTGGTGAACAGAGGTGCAGGTGGAAGGTAACGAGGACCTGGATTAAGCTAGAAGCTTCAGGAATGGAGCAGAAGGGAGAAATGGGACATATGCTTGTAACAGGACGTGGTAGTTGCATCAGAGTGTATGCCCACAGGGTGACAGCATAATATAGTGAAAGGACAAAGGTTTTGACCCCAGCTTTACCCCTTGGTAACTGTGCTCCTCATTTTCCTATGCACAGAGTCAGGAAACTTCCCGCTTGCAGGCTGCATGCAGGCTGATGAGATGACCTTTGCAGACACTACAAATGTCGGCTCCCTTCCCCAGTGTCTGATTTTTCCTTCCCCTGTGGGAGAGCGTGTCCGTCTCCATGGATGCATTTTTGTAGGAAACAGTACTTTCTCCCCTGGCAGACATCCCTAAACCCACCCCCTCCTCTTTTCCCGCTATTCTTGTGACTCAGTATAACACTTTCAAGATTCTTAACATGTGTCAGTATTTGTTGTTCTTCCTCGCTGCGCAGTATTTCATTGCATCACCACACCAGAATGTGGCCATGTTTACCATCTGTCATGTTGAGGAGATTCTTTGGGAGTGACGAGGGGGCTGTCTGTGGTTGGCAGCCTGGAGTGGTGGGCAGTAAGCACTGCCTGAAACAGACTTGTCGAGCAGAGGAGGAAAGGGGCCGGGGTTTGCTTTTTCTGTTACAACATAGGTCACAGATCTGCGCCTGACGCCCTGTGCATCAGGATGTGCTTGCCTCTGCCACTTGCAAAACACATTTCTGATGTTTGGTGCTCTTCCCCCTCCTGATAGAAAGATGACGACATAGAAGAAGGAGACCTTCCAGAGCACAAAAGGCCCTCTGCACCTGTCGACTTCTCAAAGATAGACCCCAGCAAGCCAGAGAGCATATTGCAATTGACGAAGAAAGGGAAGACGCTCATGATGTTCGCCACCGTGTCAGGAAACCCCACGGAGAAGGAGACGGAAGAAATCACCAGCCTCTGGCAGGGCAGCCTTTTCAATGCCAACTACGACGTGCAGAGGTAAAGCACCTCCCAGCTCACTGAGGACGGCATAGGCTGTGCTGGGCTCTGTCTAGCAGGGTGGTCTTGGAGGAATATTCGTTATTGGTCAAAGCCAGTAAGTTGTTTGCTTTTTTTTCCCCCCTGAGTAAAAAGTTGTCTAGCTTAGCTTGTTGGCAGGCCGCATTAGTTAGAATTTAACAGTGTGCTTTCTCTAGAAGTGTCTGCTTACTGGAGAACACTTTTCTGTGTAGCTGTGTTCATACATAAGCTTGGACCGGACTGGCAACACACAACTAATGTCAGGGAAAGGGTCTGTTTTTCATAGCTCAGGATGATCCTAAGATACAATTTTAAGGAATTTCTTTTTTCCTCCTCAATAATATCTCTAAGATTTAGGGTCTTCATATGTCTTAGTTTAGGAAGTATAAAAGTAATAAAAAGAAGTGAAGGAATACTGAGAGAGTGTCAAGAATGTCAGAGGGCTCTTGTTAGCTTAACAGACACTTAGGGGAATAAATCGGCCACCACTGCCCCAGGGCAGCCCCTCAGGAACAGAAGTGCCTGCCGTTGCTGGTGCCCCCTGGCCCCGTCCTTTCCCCTTTGCCCCTTGGGACCGGTGGCGTTGAGTGTGGGTGCACTGGGCTGCTTGCTGTTAACCTCCGGGGTTAGGATTTCTGTCCAGTAGCTGCGTGTCCTCTCGGGCGCCAGTGGAAACCAATGGTTTTCAGCCTTTGTCAAAAGGCATCTTAACTGGAACTGGGCACTACAGAATGAAAAACAGACCCCAGCAGCAGCCTGCTCCGCACCGCCCACGGCCACGGCCCCAGGGGCTCTCCCTCATTCCGTCCCTCAATGGTGCCGCCCACTGCACAGGAGACCCAGGCCCTGCCTCTGTTCCAGTCTGAGCCGAGGGGCTAGCTAGTCCAGCCAGCTGGGCTTTCAGATAAATCTCAGAAGCTGCAGGGCCTTTGCAAGTCCAATTTTTTGCTCTGTGTCCATGTAGAATTTGAGAGGGGCTGTTTTTCCTGGTTAAGTGCCGCAGAAAGTCTGACCGATTAGCCCTTCGCTGGCACGTGCTGACTGGTCACCTCTCCCTGTCAAGGTTCATTGTGGGCTCCGACCGCGCCATCTTCATGCTGCGTGACGGGAGCTACGCCTGGGAGATCAAGGACTTTTTGGTCAGTCAAGACAGGTGTGCTGATGTCACTCTGGAGGGACAGGTGTACCCTGGCAAAGGAGGAGGCGGCAAAGAGAAGAACAAAACAAAGCAAGAGAAGGGCAAGAAGGAGGGAAAACCGAAACCCCGGGCTTCGAAGGAAGACAATCGAGCCGGGAACAAACGAGAGGACCTGTAATGGGGCAGCTGCGGCCGCTGCAGGAGCATGCGGGACAGAGCACAGCCAAGGCTCTTGGGGGTGGGGCAAGTGTGGGGCACTGCACACCAGACAGAACTCTGCCTCCTTGTACAGAGGGTCTGCCGCATGGCCGGTTCGTGGTCAGAGTAAGAATCACTGTTGAAAAGGCTGAAGTAAGGAGATAGGTTTCTTGTTAACGCTGGACACTGCCAAGTTCAGGCTTACTATAAAACCTCTTTACGTGGAGACCCGACTGTTGCTTTTTCTCATTTAAATTTTGGGGAGCTGCTGACTGCTCTGTCAACCCCCCCCAGTGCACCTTCTCTGTTGTGTGTCCTGTGGGGGTCCACATGCTTCACGTCCTGTTAACACTGGAAGGTACCAACTTCTTATCAAGACAGATGTTAAGCCTTCATTTAAGTGAATTGAGCTTCTCATGCCACAAAAAATCATTTTCATTGCTATTGAAAACGTGCCCTGAGCGCCCCGCCCAGAGCTCAGGTACTTAAATGTGCGACCTGGGCACCAGCAGGCATGAGTCCCGCACCTGCAGAGAGTGCAGAGGACAGCAGTCATGTCACTCGGAGCTCCCGAGGGTTTCCTTTGAATGTCTTGCATTCAGGCCGGTGTCATGTCAGGTGGCCAGTGAGATTCAGGGTCCTGTTCTGTGTCCTTATTTAGGAAACTGATGCTCGTGTTGGGGTTTGCGTGTTTCATCGGAGGTGGCCGTTTTACAGGACAGGAATTGGGGGCTGGCAGAGTCCTCTGCAGAGTGTGGCAGGACACCTGGTAACCTCATTCATCTGTAAATGTGTTTCTTTGATAAAGTGCCTAAATTTGTGGTGCTTCCGTATGGTACTCACATGATGCCCTGCCTGCTAATGTCTGATGTCACCGTTCGCATCGGAGCCTACTCTGGGTAAGAGTTACAGAATTTCTATACAGATGTCATTTTTAAGAAGTAAAATTGTTTGTAAACACCTTCCGTTGTGATTTCAACCAAATAACACATCTATCTAGTCAGTGCCATTGTGAAAGAGGGTGCCGGGTGGACGGTCTGTTGAACGGCTGCTGCCGCTGCTGTCCCAGTGGGCACTGCTGCAGCTCTTACCAGCAACATGTATGTTCACAGCGTGTAGTGATGTGTAGATGCCGGCCTCACAGCATCTGCTTTCCCACTCGGTTCTGTGCTCTGGCTGGGACATTTGCCCTGCTGACACCCTAGCCTCCACACCGCGCTGCTGCAGGGGCGAAGCACTAACCCTGGCTAAGTTTGTGGAGCCAGGTCAGGAAGAGGTAGGTGGCCTCCGTTTCCCATGCAGTTTGAGCCAAGAGGACATGAGGTGGGAGCCGCTGCGGCCCCCCTGGACCCACCCAGAGGTGCTGTCAGAACAGAGCCAGTACATGCTGTGAGGAGACGCAGGGGACAGCCAGGCCCCGCTGGTGTCGTCTAAGCCAGCGATTTCCAACCTTTTTCATCTCATGGCACAAAACCTAATCACTAACTATAGTTCTGCAACACACCAAAGAACTACATACTTTTTGCCACTCGCTCCAAAAAAAAAAAAGTGTCATTTTGATTCATTCACCTTAGATGGCTATTGTTGTGTTGGCTGTTGTCGTTTTTTTTATTTGACCATCTAAGGGAAGAGAGGTTGGTGCCCCTGAATAGACAGGTCATTGCATGTTTTAAATATCTGTGTGGCACACAGGTTGAAAATCACCGCTCTAAGCCCCGAGCCCAGTGGGGTCTGAGGTGCACCCTGGGGCTCTCCGTGTTTCCACAGGGCAGTTTGCCGGGCTCCTGTCAGCTGCAGCGCTGACGGTCCAGTGCAGAGCCGCTCTCCCAGCTGGGTGACTGTCTTCACTGAGTAGGACGGAGTGCGGCCATTACGCTGCCTGTCCCCTGTGTTTGCACTCAGTCTTCCCATTAGAATGTCATCTGTCTCACACAGCCACCTCACCAGTAGTTGGGGGGGGGTTGGCAGGAAGGCCCATGAGGACAGGGCTGGAGGGGCGAGTGCACAGATCAGGTGTGATAGGCAGAGACTGTACAGAGATGACCCGGCGGCCCTGCGTGCAGACCCACCAGCAGGAGAAATGCCGTACGTGAGGGAGGTGGGAATGTATGCACAGACATGTAAACTTAATTTTAATTTCACACGTTGGTTTTCAAGTGTGTTCATCTGACACATTTGCACAGCCTCTTGGAACTACAAGCTGTCAAAGGAGAACGTGGACACAAGCACGTCCCTCATCCTCACGCCCAACAAGCTCCATCCAGGAACCTGAAAGCAGCCTTACCTCTGCTGTTCCTGTCAGCTTGCCTGGGGATTTTTCTGCAGTCCTGACAGCCACTTTGCTAGAAAGAGCCTTAGTGTTGATTTTGGGGGATCATTTTTTAATATCCTAGAACACTTTCAATTGCAGATTCACTTTTTTTTTTTTCATTTTGGGAAAATGTATCTTCTAAGTTATTTCTGGGTTTTGTATTGGTGTTTGGGGCACGGTTTTTTTTTAGCTCTGAATTGAGTTTTATTTTTTTAAATGTCATTGTTTTTGGCCTCACTGAGCTTTTTAGAGCATGTACACGCCTCCTATTCCCCACCACACATGCATCCACCCCTGCCCGGGAGGTGGGCGCAGCTCCAGGGCACCGCGAGCCAGCTGGGGCAGGGAGGTGCCCTGACCACCAGCCAGTGAGCGCCCACCCTTCACACAACCACTGTCAAGTGAGGTGCCACTGTCTGTTCTCTCCACCTCCTGGTGCAGAAAACCAAGGCACAGCGGGGGAAGTGATCAGGTCGAAACCCTCTAAAGTGACCACTGTCCCTCTGTATAAAGACAGCAGTTAAAAATGGAGGCATGTGTCCACGAGGGGGCAGCAGAGGCCCACCTGCCTCAGGTTTCGCCACCTGCTGCTCAGACACCGGTCCTGTGGGGAGAATTCTGCTGGTCCACAGACCGCTCACGCTGTACTGGCCAAACGCCTGCGAAACGCGCAGACACCCTCAGTGCCTCTGAAGTCCTCTGGGAGCCGTGTGTGCTGACCTACTTCACTGTCACAGCCCAAGGCTGCGGGCGCCACATTGTCTTCCACACAGGGAAACTGAGGCTAAGAGAAGGCGAGCGTTTCCCTCCAAGGCCACAGTGCCAGGATCTGAGCTCAGACATTCCCACGTGAGAGCAAACCAACCCAGGATGCCACTGCTGCTTCCTAGCTGTGACCTTGGCGAGGGCTCTAACCCTTACGAGTTTCTGTTTATTCATCTAAGAAACAAACCAAAACCACGATAACAGTTAACAAGTGTCGAGTGCTTGTTCTGTGCTTCACCTGGATTCCCTCACCCCATGCTCACAAGGCCTGAGGTGGGACTTTCCTTAGTGCCCACGGGCTCCGGTGAGGTGCTTAAATCACGTGCCCGAGACACACAGCTCATAAAGTCAGGGCTGGGCTGTCCGACCTCAGACTCACTGCAGACACGTCAACCGTGTGGGGGTATGGAGAGCAAACAAAACGGTGCGCACAGAGCCGGCACACACCGGGCGTTCCACAGGTGGTGCAGGCCGAGGAGCGTCTGTAAGGCCACCTGTGAGCAGCGGGAGGGCGGGGCCTGCCCCTCTGCCCCCCCCCCCCGCCCACCCTGGAATATTCTGGGAACTGAAAGAGGCAGACCCATGGGGCGTGCCATCAACCGTATTTTCTTAGGAGGCCCACGGTGGAGGAAGACAGACAGGGTGGCATCCTTTGTACGTTTACCATGGCGCAGCGAGGGTTCCCACGGCAGGGCCCTGTACCCTGGTGAGAGCAGAGGCTCTGGGGCACTTTCAGGCTGTCAAAGGACTCCCCGGACACAACACTTAAGACAGTTCTTCATTTCTCTGACAAGGACTTCTCCAAGTGCATGTATAATAAATAAATAGAAAATATATCTTTGTTCATGGTGACGCCTACAAGAAATGTTTACATACAAAACACACTATACAGCGAACTCCCGAAAAAGGACCTGCTATTTCGGCGACAGGAGAAAGACCAGCATGGCAGAGGTGTGCTGTTCTCAAGAGCCTGACTCACTTTGATGCTCACGCACAGAAGGGACAAGGCCGTTTCCTAGGCAGTAGGAGCATCGCTGCCACCAGGAGCACGCCTGGACATCGGCTGCTGGAGCACAGTTTGGGAGAGGAGGACCCTCAAACAGATGCTTCCTGAAACGGGCTGAACCTCGGACGGTCAGCATCCCTGGCCGCCTGCAGTGAGCGCATCCCGAGGGGTTCACAGTGTGAGACCCTTGCACGAGAGGAGACTGAGAAACACGACGCAGACGAACACGAGGTCACTGTAACTTGCCTCCCCCTCCACTGTTCTGCCCACAAGGGGTCCCCCCCCTGGGACCAGGGGCTGGGAGGCTGCCCTGTGGCCAGAGGCAGAGTCCTCTTGTCACCTCCTAGCATCAAACATCCTGCCATTTGGTGGCAACACCTCTCTGGCAGTTGGCTCAACCTAAGGAATGGGCTCGGACCGAGTCTCGGGGGTGCAGCTGGGCCCTCCCTGCGGAAGAAGTGTGGCCGGGGAGGGAGCTGGCGCGGCACGAGAGTATGAACCACAGGTAGTTTTCCCTCTTCGAGGAGCTCCCGCTCTCTCCCCAGGGCAGGGGATGGAGCAGTAGCTGCAGGGCCTGGGGTGGACCCCACGGCTCCTCAGGCCCCGCGAGCAGCCGAGGTGGCTCACGGAGAACGTTCTGGCGTGTGCGGTGCTGTGTGCTGGGCTGCACCGGCAGAGCTACGGAACAGGGAGCACCACGGACGACCGCAGCCCTGTGCCCCGCGCGTGGGCTGGCAGGTGGTCTGAGCACAGTGGAGGCTGCCCCGCTGCCTCTCCCTACCTGAGGCCTTCCCGGGACAGGTAAAACCTTTCCCTCTCCGAATGGGTGCTGGTCCCCATTTTACACTCTCTGGCCTCTCCGCCTGGTGTCCAAGGGCGCCTGTGCCTGACTGCCGGTCCTCAAGCCTGGAAGGCCCTCCCAGGCACTGCCCTGCCATCCTGTGGGCCCCGGCACCCAGCATCAGGGGCGCTCCCACCCACTCCTGGGTTCCAGGCACTACATAAAGCCACAGGCTTCCCAAATGTCTAAACTGAAAGGGGTTTTAAAAGTCCTGTAGTCTGCTGATCCCAACCTGGGACTGGAATTTCCTGACGGGTTTACAGGCCTCACCCTTCCCCCAAGGGCAGGCAGTTCTGACCCCACAGCTCTGAATGTCCCACTGCTAACACTCCTGAGATGGCTGGTTCTTGCTTACGGGACAAAGGTCTCCATGAGGCCAGAGCTCTTCCTGCATCTACTCCCAGTGTGTGTGCTGAGGGCGTGGGGTCTGCAGGGGCCCAGCACCTTGTCTTCATCCCCGCCAGAGTGGCCCCTGCTGCCGGGGCAGGCTGGTCTCCTCGCGTGGTCCCTACACCTCCCACGGGAGAGGCACGGCGGGGAGAGAAGCACCCAGGAGACCACAGGGAGGACAGGTATCCAGCACCTCCCCGGGCTGCAGGTAGACAGACGCACGGGTGGGGGCAGACGGAGGTGCCAGGGGTCTGTGTCCTTCCCTTGGCTCCCACCTGGACCCACGACCTTCGTGCACAGGGGCTGCGCAGGGACCAGCCACCCTACCCGGGTCCGCTGCCAAGAGTCCCCCGTCCCAGTCCACACAGGACGGCCCCAGGGTGACAGTCGTCCTCACAGCCTCTTCTTCCTCACCACGGGGATGGGCACGACTTGGAAGATTTTGGCCTTGTGGTCCTCGGTGTCCAGAGTGACCCAGGTGGGCCGGAAGCTGCCTTTGAAGCCGACGAACACTGTTTTCTCTGAAAAGCAGAGGTGAGTCACGTGAGCAGAAACCCTGGGGGAGAAGGGCCCCGCAGCGCATGGTGTCCCCTGTGCCCAACCGCTGAGGGTGCCTGAAGGTGTTTGTACGGGGGACACAGGGCCTCAGCTGAGCCTCAGCCACCTGCACAGGTGACCCCACGACCACTGGCAAAGCCCTGCCCCTCTGTGCACCCTGTGGCCCTGTGGCCCCAGCTGTGATTTTGTCGTTGGGGTGGCGTGGCAGCTTGGAGCCCCGCCTTTGGGTTAGAAAAGCTGGGGCCCAAGTGCCTCGACCGTCTCACCCTCAGTCCCCTCACCTATGTGGACATGGTGGCACCGTGAGACTAAGAGAATGGGCAACAATCGTAAGACTATTCAGCACGGTGCTGGGCTGAACACGTGGCCACTAGAGCGGACACGCTCACCGTCCTCTACAGCTTCTCTGTCTCCCCTCAGCCCCTCTGAGCACAGTCTGATGCTGCTGCCGCCTGTCACGCGGCCGTTTCTGTCCCGCCAGCTGCTTCCCTGTGTCTGTGCCGGGCTTCAGCCCAGGAGAACTGTGGGACCCGGCCAGGCCGCACCGGCTCCGGCTCCCCCTGCCTGCCTCCGGGGAAGCAGGAAGCTTTGCAGACTGCAGCAGGCTAGGTTGCACACGGTGCTGAGGAAGGTAGGGGGCGTCCCAGCCAGAGTGGCCAGAACTGGGATAGGTCAGACCAAGCCACTTTGCTGCTGGTATTTTTTGGTGCAAAAGAGGCCCAGCTGTTGGGCGAACAACTCTAGCAACTTCCTTCAATGTTTGGCCATGTGTAGAGGAAAGTGCCTGTGCAGGTGGCACCTGGCCCTGCATTCTGGGGACCACCAGGGAAGGGGCTGCCACCCACAGAGGCAGCAGCTGAGCTCACACAAACCCAAGTCCAGACGGCTCACCTTTCAACCTGAGCCCCTTGTCCGCCCCGAGCTTCTCTAGCACTCGAGTCCACGGGCCCCTGGAGATGTGTCTTCCCTTCAATACCATGAGAACTATGGAACTGAGCGAGAAGGGCCGATTAGAGGACGAGGGGGGAGGGAAGTGGAGCACAGGGACTGCGCTGCACCCAGAGGCCCGGCCCGGCCAGTAGCCTGGGGATGGGCAGCTCCTGCTGCGGGCCGCGCCGCACGCCCTCCCACACACCCGGCTGCAGCTGGCACCCGCAGCTCTCCAAGGCTGCACTCTGTCCCCAGCGAGGACAGAGCAGGTAGCAGAGCGCGCCCCAGGGAAAGCACTGTGCCAGGGCCGGTCCCATTTCCTGATCAGGGAGCTCTCCGTCCGCTGCTAGGACAGGACCACTGGGAACCTGGGGACGGAGGGAGCCTGAGCGCCTGCGTGTTCAGGGAGAGTTCGCCTGTCCGTGCCTGTCTGGTCAGGCAAGACATCATGACTGCTCTGTTCTGTGAATGGGGAAACTGAGATAAATAGTCGCTGGGTATCTGAGAGGACCTGCTAATGGGAGGGGTGGCTGGGTGGGCGTGCCCCACCCGAAGGCCCCAGCCTGCAGAAGCCCACCCGGGAGCAGGGAGTCTCCACTCGCCCGCCACGGTGTGTTCAGGCTGAAGTGCTGTGAAAACAGCCTCCGGGGGGACCAGATGGGAGGAAGTGACCACCCCCCAGGAACAGCAACAGGGTGGAGGCCCGCTGGGGCTCCAGCTGCCGTCTCAAAGGAATGCCGTCGACCACAGACCACAGGCCAGACTGGAAAATCTGTATGGGCCCCTGGAACCTGCTACTACCCCGCTCCATCCCCTGCCACCCCCCAGTCCCATCGGGAGCAGAAGGAAAGTTGTCAACACGCAGAGGGCTGTGCACAGTCAGAGCAGACGGAGAGGAAAGCCGGAACTCGCGGCTGTTGGGGAGAGGGGGAGCATCGCAGACACACCCTCGGCTCCGGACTCGGGCTCTGTCGCCCCACGACTGACCCGGTCGCTGGAATTCCAAGGGAAAGCTGAAGTCCCCTGGCTAGGCTAAGCCCCCACACTGGAGGACTCCCAGGAAGGTCGTGTCCCCCGGACGGGGACCTGGCTTAGCTCGGCGGTGCCCTCTCCGCCTGCTCTGGGCTTCTCCACAGCCCTGCACCTGTCAGCGAGGACTCGCCCTGCCACCCTAGAAGCTCCAAGGAGTCATCCCTGTTTCGGGCGTGAGCAGCTGCCTCCTTCTTCCCTTGAGACCTGGGGCCATGGGCAGCTCTGGGTGGGGTGGGGGGTGGGGCGGGGAAGGCCCGAGAGGAAGGCAGACGTGGGCAACTGCAGGAGCAGCAGTGGGGGGGCAGGACGTGGTACCGAGTGCAGACGAGGAGTCTGACTGTGGCCGAGACTCTGCACCAGCCGTATGGATGGTGAGGACGGTGCCATACAGATAGGGAAACTAGAAATTTGGCTCATTTGGGGGATTGAAAAAAAAAAAGCCAAGAACTCAGTTCCACAGGAGACCTCTAGGTGGCGAGTCCAAGTAGCCATGGTTGGGGGGAGTGTCTGGCTTCTAGTAGAGATCTGGGCTGGAGACACTCACAAGCCACTGGCATTTGGATCCTATTAAGAGCGTGGGAGGGAATGAGCTCATGCCGGGAGACTGTCGAGGTGGGGGCGAGGGCCAGGGCCAGCTCCCCGTCTGTAACCGGGCGGCCAACCGCCGGGCCTGACCTGCACTCACACGGCCCTGGCTCCAGGAGGAGAATTCCCGCCTAGCACCCGCGACCCATGGGCCAACTGGGGAGAGAGCCTGGGCTTCCCCAGCCTGCACTGCGGGAAGGCCTCAGGGACAGGAGGGCCCCAGACTCACTTGTCGGGGAGGGCCAGCACGTAGCTGAAGAGCTGCCACGGTACGGCCTGCAGAATGGCGCTCCTGAAGCTCACGTGGCCCAGCACGCGCCCCTGCCTGCCGTCGATCACCACCATCTGGATGCCATCCTCCATGCTGGGGTACCTCCTGCCATCCACCTGCAGCCAGAGCCACACGGGGTGTGAGGCGGGGCCCCGAAGGCAGCAAGGCCCAGGGCCCTCTGCCCGGGGTGCCCACGCCAGCCCGGGCCGCAGAGGCTGTCTGCGCAGCTGCCTGAAGCCAAAAGCAGCCTCACTTAGTTCCCAGCAGCCTGCTGGTGGGGGCTGCACAGTGCCACCCCCAAAAAGACCTGCCCACCTAGAACCTGTGAAAGGGACCTTATTTGCAGTAGGGTCTTTGCAGATGTAATTACGGATCTCGAGATGAGCTCATGCCAGGTTTAGGATGCACCCTAAATCCAGTGACTGGCATCCTTATCAGAGAGGCAGGGGGACACGTAAGATGCCAACACGGGGGAGAGGACCGTGTGAAAACACGGGCAGACGTCGGAGGGACGTTTCTACAAGTCAAGGGACGTTGAGGACTGCCACAGCCACCAGGAGCTAGGACAGGCCTGGAGCAGCCTCTCCCTCCAAGCCTCCAGAAGGAACCGCCCTGCCAGCACCCTGACTTTGGACTCGTGGCCCCCGAGCCGCAGGGGACGAATCTCCGTTGCTTTAGGCCGCCTGGTATGTGAGGACAGCCTGTGGAAACTGCCACCCCCCGTGGACGAGCAAGCTGGCTCTCCGCAGGGTGCAGCCCCTTACTTCGATGTAAGCGAGGTCGCTCAGGAAGTGGAACAAACGCTGCCTGGAACTTTCCATCTTCACCTCCAGGAAGTGGTCCTTTGTCTTCTGCAAAACAAACCACCCCCCGGGCGCCATTGGATCTGAGGCGTCAAGTGTACACCCTGTAGTGGTCGTGCCCCGCGGCTCCCCCGCCCCTGCCCCATCACAGGAAGCATGTTGGGAGCTGAGCAGGGGTCCCGAGAAGACCCTGCTCGGGCCTGAGCCCAGTGGAAGGCAAAGGGACTGGCCGGCCGCCTGCCACTCACCAGCTGAGCACCGACCAGCTTCCGGGGCATCGGCACGTCCACCACGGCCCTCTCGGCAAACCGGGGGTATGCCGCAGCCGTGCAGTCACTCACGCCTGCGTTCTTGGGGATCAGAGCTTTGATCCTGATCCTCTCACAGCCCTTTGCAGAGCAGAAGGCAAACTTCTCCCTCTCGTTCTGGGCCTTCAGCTTCAGGAACAGCAGCCTGCGTGCGGGAGGTGGGGGGCGGGGGCGTTGGCTGTGGCCTTCCCACAGGACTCGCACTTATATGTGGGAGCAACGCCTGGCTCCCGTGCCGCCTGGCAAGCCCCACCGCCCAGAACACAGCTAGAGCCCCTCGGGTGGGTTGTGGCCTTGAAAAATGGGGCTGATTCTGAGTGTGGAACGTGTCCGGACCCCCTCACGTTTAGCCTGTTGACTTTTCTGAACCCCCGGTCAGAGTGATTTGACTATAAAGTGTCCTAGCCGATGGTGGAAGACAAGGCAGCCACTGAAGGCAGGTGCGCTGAACCGGAGTGAGAAGCGACTGCACATTTATACAGCAGAAAGATCATTAAAAACGGCCCCAAGATTTCAAAATGCCCCACAGTTTGGGCTCCTGCACAGGAAGCAAACACCGTGTGACGCGGTCAGTGGTCCCTGAGCGTGTCACTGCACTAAGGCGCAGTGTCCTGGGAGCCCGGGAGCCGTCTCACGCCTGCACGGGCAGGTGCGCCTGCGGCAGAGGAAGAGCACACAGTGGGGCAGAGCCGGCCTTCCCTGAACGGGGAAGGGCCCGCACAGGTGCGTGCGGGAGGACGACGCTGGACCGCCAGCTTACATCACACCCAGAACAAACTCAAAGTGGGCTGAAGACCTAAATGTAAGGCCCGAAACCCTAAACCTAGAGGAACACACAGGCAGTTAAATCTCTGACACTGCTCGTAGCAGTATATATATATATTTGGATGTGTCTTCTAGCGCAAGGGAAACAAAAGAAAAAATAAACAAGTGGGACTACAACAGACTGAAGTTTTTTGCACAGGGAAGAAAACTCAAAAGAAAAGAAATGGAAAAGAAAACCTGAATGGGAGACGATACTTGCCAAAGGGGTTAACACCTAAAATATGTCAAGAACTCATGCAACTTCATACCAAAAAGACAGACGACTTGGTTAAGAACCAGGCAGAGGACCTGAATGGACACTTCTCCAGAGGACGCACGGAGGGCCCACAGACACATGGAAAGACGGGCAACGTCACGAACTGTCGGGGACACAAATTAATGCTGCGACCAGGTACCGCCTCACACCTGTCAGAACGGCCAACGCCAACCAGCTAACACGTGCTGGTGAGGGTGTGGAGAAAGGGGACCTCGTGCACTGTCGGTGGGAGTGTAACCCGGTGCAGCCACTGTGGGAAACAGTGTGGAAGGTCCTCAGAAAACTGAAAATGGAACCGCCCATGACCCAGCAATTCTACTGCTGGGTAGTCATCCAAGGAGCCCCAAAACACTAGTTTGAAAAGGTATCTGCACCCCTAAGCTCATTGCAACATTTACAACAGTGAAGATACAGAAACATCCTAAGTGTCCATCGATGGTACACACACACACACACACATACAGACTATGACTCAGCCATAAAGAGAATGAAATCTCTCTGTGACACGGATGGACCCAGACAAACAGCCTATGATGCCACCCATGTGGAATCCAAATAAAAAAACAGAGGCAGAGTCAGACACAGAGAGCAGACTGAGGGTCGCCGGAGGGGCGGGGCTGGGGGGGCTGGGCGAGAAAGGGGCGGGGCTGAGAGCACAGAGCCTCAGCTGGCAGAGCAGTCCCTGCCGCCAAACAGCACCGGCACAGTCGGTGCTGTCACAGTAAACTCTGTGCGGTGACGGATGGTCACCAGATATGTCATAGTACTCAATTTACAAGGTGTATAAATGTCTCATCTGATTAGACCTGACACTAGTATAATACTGAATATCAACTGTAATTGAAAATTTTTAAAAATTAAGAGACATGGCATGATTGTCAATTGGCAAAATGATAAGCTGAGCAACAACAAAAACCCCACTGAATTATACAACGAAGTCTGCTTAAAGGTGACCAAGGGGGATATCTTAGAGTGTTCGGTGTTTTGCTCAGAAAGTTCCAACTTGCGCAGTGGAGGTTGCCTTGGAAATTCCACCCTTTGCAATTTTAAAAGAAGGAAAAGCGTAGGTGGGGCCCCGAGTCCTTGGCCTTGGAGCCTGTGTTCACTCCCAGCCCTTTCCACCAGCACAGGAGGGACACGGAATTCCTCCCCCACTTCTCATCTGGAAGGGCTCTTCCACACACTCCAGGCGCCCCCTGCACTCGCTCTTCCCGGGGGATGGGGGCGCCCTGTCTGGCTGGTGGGTGTCAGGGCATAGACAGGTTGACCATAGGCAGCAGGCACTCTGTCCACTGTTCTGCACCCCAGGTCCTCGGGGCCGGGCTCCAGGTGGGGAGCCCGCCATGGCCCGTGCCACCCAGAGCTGGGGGCGCACCGGGACTGCGAGGGACCTCTGTTGTCCAGGGCTCCATCAGCAGGAAGGCTGACAGTCCCCTCCTGGCCTGCTGGCCGGCCTGCGCACAGCTGGTCTAGAACTGGGTGGGGGAGGGCATGGTTTATTGCCCCCCGCCCCCAACCTGCTACGCTTCTGATTCTCAAACCCTGACTTCCTTGTGATCACAGTGACGGGGCCCCTATTTCATAACCAAAAAAGATAACACGGGCCAGCTCCCTGCCTGCCCTCGACCTCAGTGCCAGGGTGGGAGCGGGCCCTGCCTCTACCCTCCCCCACTCCCAGAGGGCCACTGTCTGCGTGTCATCGCAAGAGAGAGGTGCTGGCTTCCTTAAGGTGTTACGTTCTCTTTATGGGGAAGGGGCCAAGACAGCCCCCTCATTTCCCCTCCCCCTCACATGGCTGGTGACTAGAACCTCATGCCTTTCAGCAAAGGGGGAAAACTGAGAACACACGTTTGTCTTACTCCCAAAGCTTAATCACTTGCAAAACGTCCTTGGTGGACGGACCCATCAGCCTCAGACCGGAAGTGCCCGGGAAGGGACCCTACACTAACGGGCACCCCTGCAGGGAGGGTCTCAGGACCACTGGCCAGGCCAGGCCGTGGAAGCTCCTCACCCTGACGCCTCGTCCCAGTAGTAGTGGCTGCGGCCAGGAACGCTCTGCTCCACTTTCTCCATCTGCAGGGTCCGCACGAAGGTGCCTGTCTTGGACGTCTGCTTCAGCAGGCGGTTGTGGACGTCCGAGAGGATGGAAAAGCTGGTGCCTCGCGGGTAGCAGAGCCCCACGCGGATCCAGTCGCCCCTGGAAACCAGGACAGAGTTGGGGTGTGCCGGGCACATGGGAGAGAGACCCGAGAACTCCCCCAGGCGCCTCCACTTGGGCAATGGGGGTCTGGAGGACACTTGCTGTTGGCGGTGACTGTGTGGCTAAGTGTTCGAGGAGAGAGGGGGGTCACTGAGATGCCCGTTGGGGGTCCCCAGGTTCTACATGGGGAGCTCCCTGTGGAAGTCTGGTTGGGAAGGGCCCTCTTTCAGCGGGACGTCAGCTTGTCTGTCAGGCTCTCCTGGGAGCCTGAGTGCAGGGCCCCGCAGGCCTCTGGGCCTCACTTCCCGCATCTGATCAGTATCCACCTCACAGGAGCACCGTGCACGGAAAACTCCCGACCACAACTCGGGATGGGGCAGACGGGGGCTTGCAGGTATTGGTGTGGGGAAGAACACAACGACTAATAAGTAGTAATGCGAGAAGAAACTTGTTGCCACCCGTACTTGCAACGGTAAACCTACTTCTGCCCACCCTGTGTATGAAGCCCTGTCCCAACACCCCCAGCGTGGCCCCCGCCCGAGGTCCCTCAGCTGCAGGGGATGTCAGCTGCGTCCCCTGCGGGGAACACGGCCAGCTGAGGTCCTGGGAGGGGCCAGTCCACCACGGCTGCTGCCCAGCCCTCACTTGTTGAAGTTGATGAGCCAGATGGCGAGCTCGGCAGGGGCCGTGCGGTCCCAGTGGACGGTGTAGCCCTTCTGCAGGGTGATGACCGGCTGGTACTGCTGGTAGTGGGTGCTCCTGGTCAGGGCTCCCTCCAGGTACAGAGGGTGGCTGGGGGAGTCGTTCTTGATGATCTTCATTCGCATGTTACTGGTCTTGTAGGCCTGAATGTACATCTTCAGAACAAAAAAGGAAGCACACGACGGGACAGTTACAAGGGGTTACTCCAGGGCGCTGGCTAACATCTGACGACAGGCCCCGTTTTCCAGGGCACGTCCCTCCCCTCACAGAGCCCCTTTCTGGAGGACGCAGAGGGAAAGAGGCCAAACAAGGGCCTCTCTGTGCTGGCAGACGCGGCCCGTGCTGCACCGCGCCACCCTGCCAACGCTCTGTGCGTCGTCAGAAAGTGCTGTGTTGAGGAGACACCAGGGGGAGGTTGGGAGCGGTTTGCTTAACGGTTGGATGGCAAGTTCTGGAAGAAGCTGGAGGAAGGAAGCGCGAGTGTTCAGAACTCTGCTGCAAACGCAGCTGCCCTCCCCTGGGCTGCGGTCCTGCCTGTGTCTGGAGGGGGTGCCCGTGTGCACTGGGTACACGAACAGCCTTTCATTTCAGAGACAGAACTGGATGCAAGGCTGTGGGGCAGGGAGTGCCAGGGACCACAGAGCCCAGGTGCTCTGGGCCAGCCTCAGTTCAAGACGGTGTTCGATGCCATGTCCCGTTACTATGGCGACAACCTTGGAGCAGAGGCCGAGAGAGAGAATGTCGCGCCCACGCGTGGTGGTGCAGTGCCTTTCGAAGGAGTGTTACCGTTCCCTCCGGCTGCACTACGTGCAGAATGAAAAGAGAACCTTCAGCCCTACCCTCTTCGGGGAGTTGTCAGCAGTGACAAATGTTTGCGCATAGATTAAAGCAACAGCAAAGTGAAGGAGGATTCTTGGTCATGATTAACCAGGAGCCAGGTATGACCGGGCAAGTCCAGCAGTCCACCCTTGGCTACAGAAGACCGGCAGTGGGTGTGGCGGAAGGAGAGGAGGGAGAGGAGGTCAAGGTCAGGGCTCCCGTGTGATGTCCCATCCCTGGACCAGGGAATGTGGATGCTCGCCTCACAGGTTCGGTCACCCTCTAATGAGGAGGGCACCTGACAGCCACTTCCCCTGTGACCTTCCCCAGAGTGTCACTGCCTGTGCTCACACCCGAGAGCACAGAGCTCCGAGTGCGGAGGTCCCCTCCACTCCGAGGGCCCAGAAAACCGCTCTTCCGGAGCCATGTGCAGTCCGCACTGGGTCCCGGCACAGCCTGGCCCACGGCCCACGGCCCACGTCCTCCCCCACAGGAGCTCCGCCAGCCGGCCCGCTCCCTGCAGGCTGCCCTCCCTACTGCTCCACCCTCTCCGCTCACAACCTCACCTCCTACTGCAGAGAGAAACGCCCTGGGCTCGCTTCCGACCCCCAGATCGGCCGTCTTCCTCTGGGCCCTCCTGCCAACGACCGAGCTCCTCCCACCCGCTCCCCCAGTGAGTCCCTGGAGCCCCCTGTCCACCTGGCCCCCAATGGCTCCCAGTGGCCCTGTCCCCTCGGCCTGGCACCAGCTCCCTCTCCTGTCTCTTCCCCAACCCAAAGCCCCTTCCGGCTCTTAACACCCCAACTTCTGACGTCCACAGCCGGACAGTGGTGAGGACGCTTCATCCTCACTTCTACCCACCTGGGCCTCCGGCCTCTACACCCCTGCTCACCAGACACTCACCCAGGTGGCAGTAGCAACGACAGTGTGACAAGAGCTACCTCACATTTTCAGTTCTGCCACCGTTTAGATCCCAAGCCTGCGCTGCCCCACACACTAGCCAACACTACCGGTGGCCACTCGGCACCGGCAACATGGCTGGTGTGGCTGAGGACCTGAACTTTAAATGCTATTTTAATCAAATTTAAATTTCAAAACAAAATCTGCGTAAGATATCCTTCCACTCAACACAACTAAGGTTACTTTGGGGAAAACGTGCCCCCAAACTGAGGGGGCGGTGTGTGCAGAATGCGCCGTGGGTCCCGGGCTCCAGACGGGCAGACGTGGGAGCGGCGGTCGTCTCCCTGACGGCTTCTACGCCCACTGTGTGTGGACGAGACCGTACCCTGAGCACCGTGGGTTACACAGACTGCACCACTGAGACTACTTGCACCTGTGTTCCCTCTCTCACGTGGCTATGAGAACCTTTGAGACCACGAGTGCGGCTTCCATTCCAGTCTCGGAGGAGAGCGCTGGTGAGGCGGCCCACACGCCACAGAGGGACCCACCCCACCCTCAGTAAGGGGGCTCCATGGTTACCCCTGTTTTCCAGGTGAGGGGACCGGGGCTCCCAGAGTCTGAGCACCTTGCCCACGTCACACTGTTAGCAAGAGGCGAGCCCGACTTGGATCCACACGTCCGACCTCTGAGCACGCTCTCGTCAGTATTCTGCCTACAAAGTGTTCCCACTTTTGAGTTTTTTGAAAATTCTGGCTGGTGGCTCATCTGGCTGGAGCGTCATCCTGTCACCAAAAGGCTGTGGGTTTGATCCCAAGTCAGGACACTGGTGGGTGTTTCTCCCCTCCCTCCCTCGCCGCCTTCTCACTCTGAAATGAGCAAATGCGTCCCGAGGCGAGGGCTAAACAAACTCTAGTGGGTGGGCAGCAGGAGTGGAGAAAAGGAAGGCGACCGGAGGAGCCTGCGCCTCCCTGGCCCAGTGCAGGGCCCGGCCCGCAGCAGGCGCTCCCCCAAGGCCGGCCACGCGCTGAGCGACCACAGACCCCAGGCAGGCGTGCCCTGGAGCCCCCACCTGTGCGTAGCGCCCGCTGCAGACGGCCCCTCTCCAGTCGGGGACGTCGATGCAGTCCGGGTGCCGGACCAGCCAGTTGTCGGCCTTGGTGAGGTAGGAGCCGGGGTACTCGGACACGGAGCCGTCCACGTCATGGAACACCGAGGTCTTGTCCCCGTCCATGTCCAGCCGGTTGAACCAGGGCCCGGGCTCCCCGAAGAACACTCTGGAAGTGATCTAAACAGAGCCAGGGCAAGTCAGGCGGGGCCGAGACGGGAAGGAAAACTGCAGCTGTCACCAGTCCCGGGCAGAGTTTCCCATTGACATGACACACCAGCCAAACCAAAGATGCTCTCGGGCACTAGGGGGACCACAGGGCTGACCCCTCCGATGGGGACAAAGGCAGCCGCAGCCTCACCGCGCCTTGGCTCCCACACCCAGCCTGCCGTTCGGGCCTCTGCTCGGGGCGGGCGGGCTGCCGAGGGTGACCTGCAGACTGCTCTGGGCCCCGGGGGACCCAGGAGTGTGTGTGTGTTTGCGTGTGTGAACGAGAGTTAGGTGATGGGAAACGTCTGTGTGAGGAAATGGACGCACACACGTGGGGGGGCGTGTGTGAGCGTGTGCTGAGTTTCAGGCAGACGGTCTCTCACAGTCTCTCAACACGAGCCCCCCGAGGTTTCCCTGACGGGCCTCCTTCAGGCCCTGGTGGCCTGAGTAAAGAAATTAGGTAACTGGACTTCCTCATCTTTTCCCTCAGCCTGCCGCAACTGGGCAGGCAAGCGAAGGGCAGGGGCGGGGGGGGAGGAGCAAGGGCCCGGGAAGCCTGCAACCCACAGGAAATGCACCAGGAGGTCTGGGCCTGCCCAGTCCCCAAGGGCAGCCGCTGTCCGCCCGAGTCACCCCCAGCTGCGAACGCGTCATCAGCCATCTGTGGCTGGAAGGCCCCTGTGCACGGTCTGCTCTCAGGAAGCGACTGAGCACAGCACCTTCGGCAGACACTCCCTCAGAAACTGCAGGTTTCTGAGCTGACTGTGCCAACACAGGCGGCCCAGGCACGAGGCCCAGGTCGAAGGCAAGATACGCGGAGGAGCGGCCTCAGAAACTCGAGCCCAGCGTGACGGCCCCTGCTCAGGCCAGACGGGCTCTGAGCAGGGGCGGGCAAGCAGGCATCGCCCCGTCCTGACCTGTGCGGCACCCACGCTTGTACTTTTCCAGTCTGGACGCGGACGGCACTGGGACGTGGCCCAGCCGTGCAGAGGAAGCCACTGGAGCCCTGTGCTGGCAGCAGCTGCTCAGCGCCAGCCCCCAGGGACTCGTGACTCACCGCCCGAGGTGGGCGGGCGGGCGGGCGGGTGGGCGCCGCACTCACCGGGACGTCCTCAAAGACGACGCCGGTCACGTTGTTGTGGGGGCAGCTCTGCCAGGCGTTGTTCAGACGGAAGGCCAGGGCGCTGGTGTGCCGGCCCTCCAGGGCGGCGAACTTGCGGAAGGTGCAGTTCTGGATGTTGATGGGGCCGTCGTAGAACTGGACTCCTCGGATCGGAAAATTCCTGTGCAGTTCGGGAAGGCCGGGGTCAGGCGGGACTCCATGGTGGCACCCTCCGGGGTGGGGGGCAACGGAGGTCTTCGTAAACAAGCCCTGCCCCCTCCCCAGCAGCTGCCCTTGCAGAGAACACCACTACGCTGCAGTGTTAGTTAATTCACTGGGAAAGCACTCAGGGACCTAGTGACTGTCAACAAATGATGGAGAGATGAACGAAGGGAGGGATGATGGGGGGTGGATGATGGATGCACAGACAAATGGACGGACGAACGGATGGGGGAGGGAGGATGAACATCTGTGTAGTTGCTGGCTTGGGTTCTGGGGATCATCCTCTATTGCAAACCACCTTTTCCGCCCCATGAAGAGTCACTGGGTAAGTACTGTCAGTACCAGGGGAAGAACACCCATGCTGTGTCCCTCGGGAAGGGAGAGCCATTACTCATTATTGCCTTACTCAGTTGCTGTGACAATCTAATCGGGTTAAGACTCAGATGAGTTTCCTGTCTGGGAGCAAGCCTTTCAATTGGGAGCACACTGGGTTTGGGGGACAGAGTGGAGCGGGAGGACAGTGGGCCGCCAAAGGACGCCCATTCGGCCCAGATACCCAGGAGGAAGGGAGAAGGCGCAGGCCTGGTGACGGAGGTGGGGGGCTGGGATGGGACTGCAGCCTGCAGGTCCTGCCCGGGCCCCGCGGGGGCAGGGTGCCTCCAACCGGGCTGCCTGGCGGCCTTGCTGGGCCTGGCCCCAGACCTAGGCTCACTCGTTCTCCAAGCTCGGTCCCTCTGCTCTTACTGGTGGTGTCTCTAGCTCTAGGGAAGGACGGGGCAGCCGGGGCCCTTCCCTTCCACAGTGACCATCAGAAAGGGCAGAAAGGTGAAAAAGCAGGAATGAATCTGTCCTCCGGGGGAGAGGCGGCGCCCCAGCTGCCCCGTCACCACACTGGGCCCTCCATGCAGGCGCCGGGCCCGGAGGAAGCCCTCGTCACGCCGTCCTGGCCACGTGCCTCCAGGGGACACCAGGCGCCCCCCACGTTTCTGCATCACAGAAATGCCCCCTGACTCTCACAGCCGGCTCCTGCATTTTTCCACTTGAGGCACTTTCAGGACAGCCCGTTCTCCCAGGCCCGATGCTTAAACTTCAGACCCCGACCCAGGGGCAGGCGGGACGAACCACCCTCAAGGAGGCTGCGTGGTCCTGGGCTCCCGCTCACGAGTCAGCTGGGCCCTGCCCGAGTCCGACAGGGCTGCCAGGCCACTGCAGGCGTCCGCACCTCTGGGAACCGCTGCAGCGCTCTGGGCCTGGGAGGCAGGGGACCCTCAGCAAAGAGGCGCCCGCAGTGCAGACCCAGACAGGCTCACAGGACTGGTGTGAAGGAACGGCTACCTCACTGAGGTGGGCAAGAACAATGGCTCTCGGCTTGACACTGGCCCCGAGAGACTGTGGTTCTGTCTGCAAAACCTTTTCAAACTTGCACATCCTTCACTGTGATCGTTCTGGCCTGTGCCCGGCCTGCTGAGGCAGGAACGATGCTTCTCTAGAGGAGGAGTCGAAAGCTCAGGGGCTGGAGGGGCTGGTCCTAGCTCCTGAAGGGCAGGGCTGCGTCTCGGCAGCAGCGCCCCCAGGAGGGAGCAAGCCCTTACCACCAGCCCAGAAGGTGGAGTTCCAGGGACTGGCCGAGTCCCTGTGCCCTGCTGGCCTGTCAGCTGTGCTGGTCCCCACCCCTGCTGGCCACCGTGGACCGTCTGGTGTCTGCTGGAGCCCTGCAGCACGGCACCCGGCTCCAGACCGCCCGGAGAACGCGTCCCGGCGCTGCACCCACCCCGACCCTCTGGGCCGCACACAGGAAGCCGCAGGAGCACACAGCAGCCCTGAGTGCATCTCCCTGGGCGGGGCTCCCGCTGCTGGTTGCAGACCCCGATCTGCTGTGACAGGGCCAGGTCGGGTCACCCTCCTGGCGGTTGTGCCTCTTGTGCGCTGTGGCCTGACTCTCTCTCTCGCCCTCGGAAGAGCGAGAAGTGCTGCACGCGGGCGAGTCTCAGAGGACACAGGGCCCGCTCACCGGTCCTGAGCTGAGATTCCCATCGGCACAGCCCGGAGCCACAGGACGCCGTTGGCAGCCAGGTGGCCCTGCTGGCTCACTGTCATGTGGTGTGGCCTCCCGTGTGCGTCCCCCCAGAGCCACCCTGGCTGGCCAGCCCCAGCGCTGCAGCGGTTTCTCTGACCACGGGTTTGAGGAACCACAAATGAGCGTCTTCCCTTCCCTTGCCGGTGCTCAGGTTAAGCCGCAAACCTACTGGCCTATGGGGAGGGTCCTTCCGCTGTGGTCCAAGCCGCCTGGGCCCCAGATCCTGTTGTCCACCATCTCGGTCCCCACGTTGCCGCTCTCGCCGACAAACAGGCTGTTCTTTATTTCCTGCTTGGAGCCATCATCGTACGGGAAGGTCCCTCCACTGTGGGAGCAGAGGCGTGGGGTGAGGTGCTGGCCCAGAGACGGCCTCCCACCGAGGGCCCAGCCCAAGGACCGGCGTGCTCACCTGGCCAGGGTCAGGCCGATGCCGTTGTCGGCAAACCTGGGGACAGAGCAGGTGATCAGAGCGCGCTCTCCCTGGGGGCGGCAGGGAAGCTCTGTGCCCTGGAGTCGCACTGCGGCTGCCGTGCGGGGGTCTCTGCCTCTGCACGGGGTCTTCTGGGGGCCTGGGCACTTCTGAGGCCCCCCCACCCCAGTGGACTCCGAAGGGAAAGGGTGACTGGGCAGCTCGCAGCGTCACCATCCCGCAGCAGCGTGCGGCCTGGGCTCCCGGGCCTCCGTCTGCAGCCCGCCCTCACGGCGATTCGCGCAGGGCCGTGCTCTGGGAAGATGCGTGAGCCCTGCCGTCCCCAGGGCTCTGCCTGAGGTCCTCTCCTCCTCCCCTGGGTCCCTGGGGACCTCGCAGGGACTGGTGGCTTCCATCCCCACTGTCTGCTGCTGAACGTAAAATCAGCCACTCTCCTGTTTTTCCCAGATCTGGGCATTTCCATGAAACACCTCACCAGCATCCCAAACTCAAAGTCCTCAGAGGGACCCCCATCTTCTGTGAGCCCCGACTGTGCGGACCCGTACCCCGCCCTGCCACGCTCTGCTCTCCCCGCCCAGAGCGCCGCCCCACCGTGTGCAACACCACATGACTCCGACTCACTGGCAGCTGTCCAGCCACACGTCCCCGCCGCGCAGCCAGGCCCCGTGGTCCTGGTTCTTGTAGGCGGTGAAGTGCCTGATGATGGCCGGCTCCCGGGGCTTCAGCGGGTCGGCGTCCTGGTGAGGGCTGTACCTGCGACATGGTGCGGGGCGGGTCCAGGGGTCAGTGCGAGGGTCCCGAATGGAGCCCCTTCTGGGCTGTAAGCGTCCCTCTGCTCGCAGTGCCCACAAGGCTCTGCCGAAACACCGCCTCATCCCTTACTGGGGTGCAGGAGTGAACTTTCTGAGCTCAAAGCAGAAGCAGCAGGTCTTCTTCTCCAGGGCCCAGTCCCTGGCCCGTGACAAGACACGTCACTTCTCTTGTTCTCAGCAGCTCCAAGGAGCACTCCCTGCCCCAGGCTGGTCAAAGCTCAGAGGAAAGTTCAGGGTCCCAACCCAGCACACCAAGCAGCCACAAGGCAGGGAAGAAGGTGCCAGCTCCCCAGCAACTGAGAGTAACCTTGACCCAGAGCCTTTCCTAGTCCTCAGGTTCCTGGGCAGAGAATGGAGCCTGGAGCCCCAAGGCTCACCGACGTCCACTGCAGCAAATGTTTCCGGAGGACGCGAGGACGCCACCAGTGTCACTTTAGATGGAGACCAAGCAACCTGGGCTTCTTAAAGGGATGAGTTCTCCTGACTCCCTGGAGGTTTAGAAGTAGCCCCTGGCCTTTGGCGGTACCCTGGATGTACCCACAGCTACAACCAGCCCATTCCTTCTCTTTACATCGACGCTGAGATTCTTCCCGTCTTTTCTTTCCACGTTTTGATCCCAGCCCGACCTGCTGTGGCCCAGGCCAATCCTGTCAAGTCACCAGGTGTTGGCTCCTGCTGAAACCCTAATTCAACCCCAGTGCTGAAATGCAGACTTTGTACTGTCCAGATTTTTACCACCGTCCCCACAGCAACTGGCTCGGTGTGCAGGACAACAGCTAACCAATGGAGAAATGCATGCACGCTGCAGGAAGGGAGGGAGGGAGGGAGGGAGGGAGGGAGGGAGGGAGGGAGGAAGGAAGGAAGGAGTGCATGAATGAGGGCATGCATGAGTGAATGAAGGAGTGGGGCTCCCTCCCGGATCCCTGAGCCTTGATCACCTGGCAGAGATGATAGAGAGGAAGGGCCGCTTGTCCTTGGCAGAGGCCTCGGTCGTTTTGACACCGTTGTCTATGATCATGCCAGCCTGAAAAGGACAGATTCAGGGACATGCTGGCTCCCGCTGCAGGCCAGGCGTCTTCTCACCCCCCCGCCTCACTGTGTCGTCCTGATGCCCCAAGAAAACCAGCCTTGCTCTGTCCTCTTGGAAGTACAGAGGAGAAAGCTGGAGGAAGCTGAGGTCTACAGGGGTTAAGGACCTTGTCCAAGGCCACTCGGCTAAGTCCCTGCACCCAGCACAACATAGCACTTCAGGACCCGAGTCGAGTAGGAGGATGCTGCTTTCCCGGGCAGTGTGGCTGCAGCGACTTAAAGGAAATGCTGAACTCAGGTCCCACCTTTACCGTGGGGGCAGAGGTCTGCGGCCTTCCTGGGCCCTGCCTTAGATCCTACCTGACTCGAGGAAAGAACCTCAGTTTCTTATGTGGCTCCAAGGTGCCCACGTGTCAGCCACGGCGAGGGGAGCCAGGGCAGCCGGGGGCGCTGCCCAGTGAGGCACGTCCTTCCTTCCCAGACCCCCCGGCCTCTCAGGAACGCCCAAACTCTTATTTGGATCACTGGCAGTCACTCCAGCTACCGAGTCTGCCAACCGACCTCCGGCGAAGCCCCTGTGATCTGAGTCAGGTGCAAAGCCGGCTCCTCTCTCCTGGCTGGGATGTTCAGTCCTCTCACCTCTGAGGCCTCAGCTGTTGCCTCTGGGAGACGGGCAGTGAGCACCCACATGGCAGCCCAGGTGAAGAGCCCTGGACGGGACCGGCACATGCAGGCAGTGGGGCTCCCCGGGCGTGAGGGCCAAGCACAGGGCCTCCTTGGCTCAGATACCCAGTCCCTCCAGCTACAGCCTCCTCTTCCCTCCTGTCCCACCTGCCACCTTCCTCAAGGCCCCTCCACCTGTGCCCAGGACCCTGGCCTACGTCCTGTGGGAAGACACTCTCCCCACATACCCTCACCTGTTCCAACCTTTGCAAATACCCAGGTCCAACAGAGCCACCGACCCCTCATGGGAAGGTCCCCAAGGGTCTGACGGCCAGCCAGTACCATCTCTCCCTGCCCCTCCCCCACAGCTGTATGATCTGCTCTGCATGGAGACAGCCCCCCACAGCCCAGGACAGCCTCGGAAATGCCCCTCCGAGGCCTGGCTAATTCTGTCCGGAGGCGCCATGGCCCTCCTCACCTCTGCCCTTTGCCCCATGAACTGTCTTCTTTCTTAGCTTCTAGGATGTGACCCTGCCTGGGGTCCTCTGGGGGCCCACCCTGCCCAGCCCTCCTCGTGGCCACCCCCGAGGGGCAAGCACAGGTCACTCCGAGAGTAGGTCTCTTCCTTCTGGTCTACTCCCTGAACGTGCCCATCCTCCTCCGCCGCCTCAGCTTACCCATCTGCACAGTCTGGGATTAGAACAGAGGAGCAGCCCTGACATCTAGGGCTCTGTGCGTGTGGCCCCCGAGTCCCCAGGGGCCTCTGCCCAGAGCGGCTCCCCTGCCCCAGGCTCCCGCTGCACCCATGGCCCTGGTCTCGGCACCGCCCGCACTGGGGACCCAGGAGCACTCACCCGGTAGTTGGAGTGTGCCCGGTTGTTGAGGAACTTGCCCAGGGGGACGTGCTCCGAGTGGCCCGGGGAGTACATCCCCGCCGAGGGGCCCGTTGGCACGTGGTGGAAAATGAACCAGAATCCTGTCTCCTGGAGGGGGAAGGAAAAGCCACAGGACTCAGGACCAGCCAGCCTTTCGTCAGGGGGCCCAAGTGGCCCCAAATTTCCCCCGTCGGGTTCCACCGCCCACCTTTAAACACATGCCCAGGAAGCCGAGAGAAGTCTGAAGCCAATGCACTCTGTGGGGGCCACCCTGGCTGTGAAGACCCCCCGTTGGGGCTGGCCCTGCCTGCCACGGGCTCCATGTGGCTGGATGTCAGCGCCACCTCCTCCTGGCACATCAAGGGGCTTCGTGTGTCTTCCCAGCTTCTCCCTTTCACTCCGCAGGCCTGGGAGCCGAGGCCCAGGGCCTGCAGGCTGGGCGGGCAAGAGCAGGGCCCTGTGCGTCCTGTGAGCACCCACCCTGAGTCCTCACCCAGCCCGCGGCGGGTGACAGCAGCCGCCTCACTCGGTCAGGGTAAGAGTTACATGACTTTAGAACACTGATGCACCAGGCACGGTTCTAAGCAACTGTGATTTCAGTCTACTGATGGGTTATCGCACATGAAATGCCTTGCTCTCGGCAATGAAGGCACGACCATCACTGAAAGTCAGTCCTTCTCACTCCACGCTGGGGTTCAGAGCTCACAGATTTCAGGGTTGGCCCTAGCGCCCCCAATCCCCCGGCTCCCACCCCCTTTTCCCCCAAAGAAGAGAGTCCTGCTCACCTCGGACCCTGCAGCAGCGCAGTTCACGAGGTTGTTGTTGGGGTTGGCCATCCAAAAGGTGGACACACCACTGCAGGGGGAAGGACAGCGTCAGACCGCAGCCCAGCCCCGCACGGCTGCGGGGGCCACGTCAGGCTCTCTGACAAAGGCCTCCAGAGGCTGCGGACTCATGGACTGTTTGGGTCTGAAACCCAGTGTTTTCACGGGAGCAGGGCACACAAAAGCACTGGAAGTGTTGAGAATTTGACACTGCGTGGCTCTCTGAGGTACATGCCGTGTGTAGGTAAAGCCCGAGATGGGCTATAAAATACATCCAAGTCAGGAGAACCAGGGAGGGGGTGTTTCTCAGAGAGAGCCCAGGACTCAAGGCTGGCCCCACGGGGAGCTCTGTCTCTCCCACGTCTACAGGTGACCAGGGCGGCTGGCGCTGACGTGCACTTGAGGGGAGCCGGGGGCGGCCTGCTCTCCGAGAAGAGCACACTGCCTGGCATCAGAAGCTAGAGGGCGAGAACTGTAGTTCTCTTTGGACAGAGGACGCCCACGGGGCACCCGAGAGAGGAAATGCCCCTCCCTTCTGCGCAGCAGGTGGTTTGGGGCTGGCGACACCCACCGCTCAGAGCTGAGGCATGGCAGTCGGCACCTGGGCCGGAAGTCTGGGGCCCTGGCGAGGGCACAGAGGGCCACTTACTTGCAGTCCTGCCTGGGCTTGGGGACGTAGCCCGGGTAGGAGTCCTCGGTGATTGTCTTGCACATCCTGCTGTCACGGTCAGAGGGCAGGAGGGTCCCAGACTTGACCAGGAGGCCGAGGCAGTGGTCAAAGGTGTTGCGTTCCTCCGGCCCGTCCTCCGTGAAGAAGCAATGGCCCAAAGAGTTGTAGCCCACCACGTCCTTGACCTGCAGGGGCCCAGAGAGGGAGACGTTTCACCCCTGTCCGATCATTCACGGGCTCGTTGGCTCACCCAACACACATCAAACTACATCGGCTGCACCCAGGCCCTGTGAGGGGGGGACACGGTCATTGGGGGGGACACGGTCATTGGGGGGGACACAGGTGTGGAGCCTGGGAGGTCCAGGCAGAGGGGTAAATAGGAGACTTCAAAGTCCCTTCTAGCTGGAGGTGTTGTGGCTGAGGCTCCATGGGGTGGGACAAGGACAACACGTTAGAGGCAGGTCCAGTCGGGGGCAGCGGACGGGGTCACCTGAGCCTGCTCTGGCGAGGACGCAGCACGAATGCGGTGCACAGGCCCTAGGGTGGCGGGCTACGTGCAGGTGGCCCCACTGGGAAGGCGGGGAGGGGAGAGCCTCGCCGGGCGCAGCCAGGCGGGCCTGTTCCCCAGACTGGTGCGGGCCCCTCAGTAGGCCCTCACCCAACGAGGCCGGCCTGCTTCACAGCCCACCCCTAGCCCCCCGGCTGGGACCGGGAAAAGGCTGCCCACTCCTGCTCTGCCACTGCCAGGCCACCGTGCTCTGGGAGCTCCCAGAACCGGGACCCTTCACCTCCCAGGCCTGCACTGGGCTCGTGTACCTTTTACTGTGGCTTAAGTCCTGCCCCTTCCTGTAATAATTTTTTGGAGATGAGGAAAATGGGGCTCAGAGAAGATCAGTGATTTGCTCAAGGTCATCCGGCCCATGTGCCAGCCAGGGCGGGGACCGCAGCCACCCCTAGGGGAGGACACCCAGCACACAAGGGAGCCCTGGGCTGCAGTCCCCACCCCCCCCGCCCCCCCTGCCACACTGTGATCCCCGGCACCAGCCCAGGGCCCGCGCTCGCCTTCTGTTCGGTCCCCCAGGAGCACTTCAGGAAATACCAAGTACCTGTGAAGCTGCTTCCTTTCCTCCTAGTGAGCTGGGCAGACTCACCGCGGACTGCCCAGGGCGGCAGCACGGGAGGCAGAGGTGAGGAAAACAGGGCTGCTCGAGCTGGCAGGGACCTCGGAGGGCAAGGTCAGAGCCTTCACTGTTCCGGAGGGACGGGCGGTGTCCCTCGGCACTCACCGGAGGGGACGGGCGGTGTCCCTCGGCACTCACCGGCCTCGTGGGGTGCGGCCCCTGCACACCCTGGCCTCCTGCCCCCCCGCCCACGGCTCTTTCCAATCCTATGCCCCCTCTGCCCACTGTCTGGGCCGCACTTCGGGTGCCCGTCTTTGAACACAAGTGACTAAAGGGTGAGGTGTGTTCTCACCCTGCAGGCATTCCGTCCGAGACCCTCACTGGAGAGGAGAACAGCTACGTCTGCTGGGCGTCCATGTTTTGCATACGCTGCCTCATTTAATCTTTAGCACAACTACCGCTCCCTCCCTGCAGACGGCGTGGAGGCTCGGCGGGTGGAGTTACAGGCCTTGAGGGCAAAGAACCGAGACTTGGTTCTCCTCCTGTCAGATGCACGGCTTGTCACTAATCCGTCCCAGCAGCACCGGGAGGAGAAACCACATGCAACCCTGTCATTAGGAGTGGGGTGAGGGTGGCACGCAGAGCCCAGAGAGACGCACGGGAAGGCAGAAGCAGCCTGGGTTGGGAGCGGAACACAGGCCCCAGTCCTGACAAGGTCACACACTTGCTGTGTGACTCGCCCGAGTGTCCTTCCACCACAGGGGGACCTCTGAAGTCCCTTCCAGCCCTAGCGTTCTGCCACTGAGCACGTTTCCCGTCTGGAAGAGTCTGAGGACACCGCGTGACAGAGAGAGACAGGTAAGGAGACGCAGAAAAAGGTGCACAGACAGGTACGTAAGTGCACAGGTAAACAGGTGAGCAGAGAGCCGGCTGGGCAGGAGGGAGGGAGGGGCTGACGCACAGACAGGAGGACACGGACACGCAGGAGAGCACCGTGCCCAGGGAAGGCTGGCCAGAGCTGAGTGCCGGCTCTCTGCCGTTCTCTCGCATGATGGTCTCTCCCCCTTTCCTCCGACAGGCTTCCCTGCGGGGGCGCGGCAGGCCCGAGGCAGACCCCAAAGACCCATTCGAGCCTGCACCTCGGTCGTCCCCGCTGGAGACGGTGAGGGGAAGCCCCTCGGCTGTCGGGGGCGCTCTCCAGCGGGGGCTGCGCGGTCACTGTGTGCACCAGGACACGCCCCAGAGTGCAAATGGGCGCTCTCAAGAGTGCAGCCAGGATGACAGGCCGGGAGGGGAGTCGGCGTGTGTGGCAGGACATGGGGCGCCCACCTGACGGCCGCCGCCACTGCGAGGAGAGGAAGGGCTGTCTCCCACGGAGGCACCTGCACCTGTGCCGCACCTGTCCCTGCTCCCCAAGCAGGTGCAACCCGTGTCCCTGAGAAACCTGACGACAGACGTGCACACGGTGAGGACGGGTGTGACGCCTGAGCCCTGCCCCTCCTCCTCCACTATGTGCCGACCACAAGGTCAAGGCCCTGCACGGAGCTCTCAGTGCATTAGGGAGGCACCCCCAGGGGTGCAGGAGGGGCGGCAGGTGACGGGAGGCGGGGGCTCGGGACCGCTAAGCAGAGGGCCTGTTACTCCAGTTCCAGCTGATGTCTGTGCCTCCTCCCATCTCTTACCCCGTCTGCCCGTGGAAGCCCTGGCTGGTGAAACGTGTGGGGACACCAACGACGAGAGTCTGGCTCCTCGCTCCAGCTCGCGGGAAGGAGACCCGAGTGTGGCCGTATGAGTCACGAGGCAGGGTGCTGGGTCGAGGGGAGCTCCGGGAGAACAGACGCCTCCGCCACGGCTCCCGGAGCTCTGAGGCTGGGAGCCAGGGCACTGACCCTCCCGCCCCGCGCTCAGGGCAGGGGCAGGGGGCTGGCACGTGGACACCACCCCGAGCTGAGATGCTCCCTCCCCAACTGGTGGCCAGAACCCCTCGGGGCCGGAGAGCAAGAGGGCCTTGCGCCCGGACGGCCAGGGTCTTCTGGCTCCAAGAGGCTGTCCAAGCCTCTGGCTGCAGGGATCGATCTCTACCGGGGTTCCAGCGACCTGCCTGGCGCTCCCCAGGGCCAGTGCCTGGTGCACCTGACACCTTCATCACCTCCAACACCTGGCTGGCGATGCCTCTCCCCGCCTCCCCCAGCCCGCATCCCTGCTGAGATGCGGACCTAGGCCCTGGCTCTGAGGTTGGTCTCCCATCACAGAGATGGCCACAAACATCGCGTGAAGGCAGCAGCTGCATTTTCCACAGTACGTGCAAGGAACTGCCTGAGCGAAGAGCTGCTCCAGGCCACAAGGCAAGTGACCAGCTCTGCGCCCACACTGAGTGCAGGCCTGCCTGAGGCCACACTGTGTGCTGGACTGCCCAAGGTCCAGAGCAGCTGCCTCTCAGACCGACCGAGGTCTGCATTCAGCCGGCGAGTTGTCTTAGCATCTTCCTCCCCTGTGGAGTTAGACAGGTGACTGGAGCCAAGTTTAAGGACAAAACTTGGAATAAATGCTTGGAACAAGCGAAGCCCCCAAGAGTCAGGCTCTTCTTCGGCAAGTCCATGTGGCTCATTCCCGCCACACGCTCCGAGCTTTGGCCCCACCTGAGCGAGAACGTCTGTAGCTCCCTGTCTTGTGTTCCTCCCGCAAAGTCCCACACCAGGTGCCGCTCCCGGGCTGAGTGTGCCTGGCTCTGCACCCGTTCTCACGACAAGCACACAGGACGGGCGCAGAGGAGGAGGCAGAGGGGACACAATGGCCCCACTTCTGGTGAGGGGCAGGGCCGGTGGGGCGGGGTCCCAGCCCGCGCCGTGCCCCCGCAGCCCCGATGATTCCCGCTGTCTTCCTGCTGCCCCAGCAGTCACTCTCCTTCACTGTCCCCATGAGCCAGAAACAAGTCCCGCGTCTCTGGCCACTGCTCCAACCCGAGTCCTCTCTCCACCCGAGGGGGAGAGCCGGCCTGGTTCCTGGCCAGCAGGTCCAAGTGAGCCCTCCCTCGTGCACGGCACCCGCCGGGCCGGTGTGTTCGGCATCCTTCCCTCGCCTGGCTTTGTCGGGAACTCGGGTCGGAGAGCCGAAGCTGCTTGCCCGAGGTGCTGACAAGCCTCTTCATCTTCCCTCCATCCCGTGCCTGGCAGGGACGTTCGCTCTGCTTGGTTTAAAGCCAGAGTCACGGGCACAAATGCCCTTGGTGGCACTGGCCAGGGAGTTTCCTGAAACGCACTGGGAAGTGGTGGGCAGGGGGTCCGCCGGGGAACACGGCCCAGCGCAGCGGGGCAGCCGCGACTCTGACCAGGCGGGAATGGGGGCCTGGTGCTGCCGACTCAGCTGACTTCTCGAGAAAAGCCACAAATCCAGACTTCCGTGTGAAACCTCCCAGTCTCTACATGACAGAAACGAATCCCAGCGTTTCTTTAACCTGTCCTGAAGCCAAGCAAAACACCACTCAGCTCCCGGGGTGGCATTTTGCGACATCCGGTCTCAAAGTTCACGGAGGCTGTAAGTTCAGCCCATTCAAAGGAAGTTCAATTTAGTGTAAAATTATCAGTTCAGCGTAAAAACGACCAAATGCTTCTCTCAACACCGTGTGAGCCAACTCAAACACGGCTGCAGTCAGCCCGCAGGGTTGTGACGTCCCATTTGAAACGTTTATAGAAAACACGGGTTCATTTAAGGAGGCATCGACTCAGGGTGAGAACTAACTGTGGATCGAGACAAGCCTCTGACTCAGACACCTGTTTGCTGAAGGGGACATTTCTCCCAGCAGCTCTGGCTCATGGGCCCTCAGTTTACCAGAAGAAACAGCCCCGCTGGCTCGCTTGGTGGGGTGCAGCCCCCATGTGCGGCGAGCAGACCCGCCCCACACGGCCGCGGAACGGCCACCCTGCGCGCACTCTGCGCCTGGTGCTCATTTCCTCCTTCCCCCTGCCTGGCCGCCCGCCGTGAGGGCAGATCACCCCAAGACCCGAGGTAAGGCCGGTTCTACCCCTGGCGGCCCCAGGCCGCGCGACGGGATGCAAGCCCCCTTTGGCCCACGCTCATGGCCCCTCGGCCCAGCAGTGAGTGGACCAGCATGGCGGGGTGAGGGGGGCCAGGGCCCCGGAGGACCCTCCCTCCTGGGAAGGAGGGACTCACCAACAAGCCGTTGGAGCCATGGACGGTGACACAGCGGGAGAAGGTGTGGTGGATGGACAGGTCCCGGATGTAGGTGGGCGGGTCGTAGCCGCCCTGTTGGTCCACGTCCCCGGCCAGGTGGAAGTGGATCGGGTACTGGCCCACCAGCTGCTGCCCCATGTGCTTCAGCTCCACGCCCTCCAGGTGTGCCGCCTTAAAGCCCAGGGCGAACTGGGGAAGCAGAGGCGAGATTCAGGGAGGGGCCTGCGGGCTGGGCGTTCCCTGGCCCCTCACCACTGCCCTTGTCCCCGTCCCCTCCAAGTGCTTTGTTAATCCCGCCTCAGGTACACCTTGGTCTCTGTGCCGGGGCCTTCCTACCCCATGGGGGAACAGGGTGCTACCTGACCACGGGGGTAGGAGGGGTGCAGACACGCCCTCTTTCCCTGCCACCAGGGCCGCTGACGGTCACGAGGAAGGGGAACTGTGTAGAAGTTGTGTTGGTGGTGACAAAGCACTGAATGGGCGCAGACCAGGGACGTCGGAAACCCTGTGACGCAGGCCCACACAGCCAAACACTGCGTCCCCGATGTGCCAGGAGGGCCCATGCTCTGTACATTTCACTCTATGGTTCTTCTCAGTCATTTACTGAAACATCTTATCCTTAAAGCACATGTTTTAGCTTCAAGAGAACTGTCCTCACAAACCCCCAGGACACTGTTATTCTGTCAGCTTAACCCCACCGCTGACAGCAAAGGCCACATGAGTGACTCCGGGCGCCTCGTGCTGCCCAACGCCCTGGGTAAGGGGCTGCACGCGGCCATGCCAAGCAAACGCCTCCCGCAGCTCAGGGCCAGGAGAACGTGAGCTCCGGCGCCGACGCCATTCTCCTCTCTCCGCCACACCGTCTCGGCCGTTGCTGGCTCTCTGCCCGGACGCTCGCAGGTTACGTCAGTGCTAGAGCTTCCGGCCCCCACGTATCACTGACCTGCACATTAGTGGGTCTCTTGTGCACATGACTTTTTGTGGGTTTCATGCCCTGACCCCTTCTGTCAGGAAGGGGATCAGGATTAAATTATGGAGACAGGGAGTGAGAGCCATGATTGGGGCCGGAAATAGGGAAGGTGGGGAGTGCAGGGTGACAGGGTATGGCCAGGGGGTCGAGAGCCGTCCCCAGGTTGGCTCTGCTGCCTCTCCTGCCCCCGAGCCCTGATGGGAGGGACGGCTTGCCAGCGGGTAATGCAGAGGCCTTCTCCGACTTCCACGGGCTCCCTTGCCTTGGTCCCTGCTCCTGCCCTGCCTTGCTCCTCCCTCCCAAGAACCCCACCCATGGGCATCACGGGGATTCTGGCGGGGCTTCTGGCCGCAGCCGGGCAGACCCTACCTTGATGTGGCCCCCAAACGTATCGAAGTCAAAGAAGTTGCAGATGTGGTTGCTGTAGGGGTAGCATGTGCTCTCCATCGCCCCCCTGACCACGATGTTCCGGGTCAGGAGCCCCACCTCGGCCCGCATGTCCACGCCGTCGACCTCCTGCCCAATGTGCAGGTACATCGGTTTCCCTGGGGCGGAGAGGGGGGGTGCGTAAATCAGAGGGACCGCGTGGGCCCCGGGCCCCTGCCGGCCGCCTCCACAGCCCCTGCGTAGGTCTCCCTGGGACCCGTGTGCACGGTGGTCCCAAGGCCCTGGATCCCACTGCCCAGAAGAAGGAAGCTCAGGGAGGTGAAGTTACCAGTGTGAGTGAAGAGGGGGGATTCACGGACACGCATGCTTAGATCTGAAGCCCATAGCACTGATCTGCAGTGCTCTGTGGTCCCCGATATCTGTCCCCTTTTCTGCTTGTGGCACTAAAATCTCCAGCATTTTAGGGGGACCCATGCTTCTGAGGAGGGCCACCTGTCCCAGGCCCCCTGTGGTGTTCACAGGATGGGCAGAAGCGATCTGTGCGCTCTCGCTCTGTACCCTGGGCTGGAATGTGGACAAGGGGTGGTCCAGGCTCCCCCAGGCGGTGAGGACCATGCCCAGGAGACGGCACAGCAACGAGAGAGAGGACACCTGGGCCCCGATGTCCCCACAGAGCTCAGCTGGCACTGCAGCAATGCAGAGCCAAGGCGGGTCAGTGACAGTAAGCGGGTCTGTCCCAGACCTGGCCTGTGTGACCGACCGCCTTCAGCCTCACACAGAGTCCGTGTCCAGCACTGTGGCCAGGTGCTGGGTGCCTGCATGTACCGTTGGGAACCGTGCAGGAGAGCTTTCCCCGCAGTGGTGCTGACGTCACTGCGGCCTCCCCACTCCCACCCTCCTTCCGGCCGCGAAGCAGACAAGGTGTTGTCCCTTGTACCACCGACCCTGAGCCCGGCCCCAGGGCAACCAGCTGGACCTTTGGAACCACCTTTGATTTTCGGCCCCAAATTCTGCCTCCACAACGACCCCTGACCTTGCCTTCTAGAATAAAGAGACGTTAGCCAGCCTGCCTCCGGCTCCTCGCTGGGACTGCTGCCCTGGCTGGCAGACACTCTCCCTTCCAGCCGAGGACCGCGTTCCAAGGAGCAGCGATCTCTCGAGTGGGGCCGCAGCCTGAACCACACCACAGACACCAGTTGCCTGTGCTGTGACCTTGACTTGAGCCACAGAGCACTCACGTCACTCAGCCCCGTGACACAGTAACCACATGCAAAGCCCGTGGTCACCAGGAGCCCCGGGCAGCGCCCACCAACGGCGACCCCACCCTGCTCTTTCAGCCAGAGGAGGGCGGGCCCCCTTCCCTCCCTGCCCCCAGCACATGCCCGGTGCTGGGTCTGCAGTGCTTCTGAGGATGTGGACTGTTCTGGAATTCTGCCGGCTCAGGGAGGTGGCGGTTTCTTTGAAGCGTGTTAGTTCAAAGAAATGAACCCGGCTCATGGCAAAGCCAAGAAAACATCCCCTTTGGAATCAGCATCAGCTTCCCAGGGCTGCTATAACAAGTCACCACAAACTCGGGGCCTAAGACAACAGTTGTTTCTCTTCCTGCAGCCTTGGTGGTCAGCAGTCCGAGGTCGGTCTCACTGGGTCAGCAGCCAGGGGTCAGCAGGGCTCCTGCCAGGCCCCTCCGTACTGGCCGTTCTCAGACTCGAACGCCTCCACGCGCCCTCTCTCCGTCATGGGTCACTCTCATCTGCTATGTCACTGCCCCCTGACTCTGACCCTGCTGCGTCCCTTATGACCCCCTCGGCCCTAGCGGATGACCCCGCAGTCGCCCTCTCACAGCCTTGACCTCCTCGCACTGGCAAAGGCCCTTCTGCCGAGTCGGGTAACAGTCACGGGTCCTGAGGATGAGGATGTGGACATCTCTGCCACCGTTCAGCCGACTGGCAGAACAGCCTTGAAAAAGGCTTAGGTATTTAAGAAACGAACTTCACAAAGTCTGTTTACTGTAAGGTACCCTTTGCCCGAGATCTGAGGCCCAGGCCTGCGCCCCCGGCTAAAGACAGGGTCCCAAGTGGGTGCCACAGGCCTCAGGCCCTCGGTCTCGCCCAGAGCCGACACCCTGCAATGAGTCTGAAAGGCACCAGGAGCGTCTGAAGTGAGCCTGCCCTGCAGACTCCCAGGCCCTGCCTGTACCAGGGCACCCCCTCGCCTTCTGCTCTGGGTCACGGGGCTGCCAGTCCGCACAGCGTTAGGCCCAGCGGCAGCCCCCTCTGCACAGGGCGCAGTGAGCAGGCAGCCTCCAGCCCCGGCGCGGGCTGGAGCAGAGCCACCCTCCCCTGCACAAGCCTTGGCTGTTGTGTTTCTCTGCGCGTCTGAGCCGCTCCCTCCAGTTGGGACGGCCTGCTCCACTGCACCCGTGTGGCGGTCACCCGGTCCCTCCAGATGCTGCTCCCCGGGCCCCCAGCATCCGCCTGTGGGCGCCGTGTGCAGCCATGCTCAGCAGAGACAGGGGACCAGGCCACCCCGCCCCCCAGTCCAGGCTCCCCACCCGGCTTCAGGGTGCACGCACGTCAGGCTCAGGGGGCTTCTCTCAACCTGCCAGTGTCCACCCGAGAATATTACGTCTGAGCAGGAGACACCTCCCTCCTCAGGGACTGGGTCAAACATGACGGGAGAGACAGGACGGGGTGTGCGGCGGCCCTGGGGCTGAGCCGTGTCGAAGCCACAGTTCGACCAGAGCCCCTGACGCTATTGAAGCTCCCCGGTCCTCAGGCCCTTCTCCTGCAAAATGGAAACGATACTAGCAGGTCTCTCAAAAGAGCTGTTCACTGAGCTGACACTCAGAATGTGCTCAGGACAGCCCTGCACGGGGCAGGGGCTGGTGCAGCAGAGGGGACACGCAGAGCTGTCACTGGGACTGTCCTCAAGTGATGGCTGGAACGGGGGCTGCGAGCACCGGCTGCACAGCTGCAGGGGCCTCAGGTCAGGCGTGCTCTCAGTTCCCTGGGGGAAACCGGCCGGGAGTGGGAGCAACTTCAGGGGGACGGGGGACTGTGTTTATCAGACTCCTGTGAGCAGGCAAGTCACCTCGGCGTATTTCTGCCACCCTCTTCCCGCCCCACACTGGAGCCCCTATCAGGACCCACACAGAACCCTGCCGCAGTCTGTCTGTCCTCTGCAGCATTCCCAGACCACGCCCTGGCTGCTATCCCCCGGACGCTGTGTGCCCCAGTTTCCCGGCCTCCACCCTGCTTTCCTCCTTGCAGCTCTGACACTGAAGGCTGAGCAGCGGCCACAGATGTGGCCAGATTTGTCCCAAATGATCCAGAAGGGCCGCAAGCCTGGGCAAGGGCTGGGGCGCAGGAGGCCGGGAGGCATCGGGGTCTCGACCACCGACCTGCCTCCCTGGTGCTTGCCCTGCGCCCCCCGGGTCCACCCCCTCAGCCCTCTCCACGGGGCAGGCACAGTACTAGCTACTTAGGTCGAGGGGAGAACAAACATCGAGGTCCCTCCAGCGGGAGAGGCAGACACCTGTCCTGTGACTCAGACCTGGCAGGGCCAGTGAGTCCGCAGGATGGGGTGAGGGGCTGCACCTCTCAGACTTCCAAGGACAAAGGTCTCCGGAGGGTCTCAGCTGGCAGGTTCTAGGGAAGCAAATGTAAAGCCCAGAGTCCCGGTTTGCCCCCACAGGGCAGCCACCTTGGAGCAGGGATGCTGGGCTGGGCCTCCACAGAGGAAGGACATGTAGGTCACGGGCCTTGGGGCCGGCAGCTCTGAGTTCGAGGGCTGCTCACAGGAGCCGTGGAGGAGGTGCGCCCAGTCTACACCGGCCCCCTGCCGTGACTCTGACTGGACGGTCATGCCGTCCTGTGCCGTCACAGGAAGGCCACTGGCTGAGTGTGGCCACCACACACTTCAAATCCGGCCAATATGACCAAGGAATGGGATTTCTCACTTTACTTAGCTTTAATTATGTTGCAATAGGCCCTTGTGCCTGGTGGCTCCTGTGTTCGGAAGCAGGAGTCTGGGTCCTGAAGAAAACAGCGGCCTCCAACGCCCACCCCCCCACCCCACCGTGAGCTCCTCACGAGGCGGGGGCAGGATGGGGCGTGTGCGTGCCTGGCACAGCACAGGGAGCCACAGACACATCGGGGCCGCTCGTCGGGACTGTTATTTAAACACGGGGGAAGGGCAGTTACAGGCAAAGCGGAGCGGGGGGCCGGCGTGAAAAAGGGCGGAGGAATGAAGAGCTCTGTGACTGCCCTGTCGGGGGGTGTTGGGAATCACACTGCGGCTGGCGAGGCTCTGAAATACTTCTTCAGATGATTCACACGTTTTCATTGCGCTGTTCCCCTCATCTGTTTCCCATCAGAAAACCCTTCAGATGCCTGTTTACTGGAACAGGGCAGAGCGAAGAAGGGCCCAGAAAGGCTGTGTCCCTCTGTCCGGCGGGCTGGGGACAGCGAACCCTCGGAGGTAATGGGGCCCCCTCGTGAAAGGAGGAAGCGGGTGGAGTGCTCGCGTGCCGTCAAGGGGAGATGGAGAGCCAGAGAAGGGGCCTCGGGCTGCCCAGGAGAAATGGGAGCTCCCCCTGGGCACACATGTGCACACACACACCCCCTCCCTGCCTGGGGCTCTTCTGACACTGCCCACCAGGAGGCGCTGTTTTCGTGTGAGCAGAGTCAAGTGGCCCTTCCACGGAACTGAACTTGGAGCGTGGGAGTCAGTGGGGAGTGGGGCTGCCGCAGACAGACGCGGCCTTGCCCACTCACCCGAGGGAGGGTGCAGGGTCCTGAGGGCCTCTCCACTCATCCTTGCCTGCCCGTCTACAGACCCAGAGCAGCCCTCAGATGCCACGAGAAGCAGCTCCCTGCACCCCCCCCAAACCGCCCTGCTGAGGGGGCAGGGGCCCTGACATCACTTCGGGCACCCTTGGCACCCACAGGTGTCCCAGCAGGACCTGCTCAAAGTACGACCTCCATGCTGGCCTCTCTGGGGCCCCTCCTCCGCCTCCGTGTAGGCAAGGGCTACAGGGCGGGCCTGTCACCCCCTGGAAGCCACACTGCTGCCCAGACCATGGGCCCCCTTACGATGAGCAGTGGTGTCAGGGGACTGGGGACGTGGGCAGACGCCCACGCCTGTCTGATTCTGCCCGGCCCCTTTGCCATGCCCCCCACGCCTGTCTGACTCTGCCCGGCCCCTTTGCCATGCCCCCCACGGCCAGCCCTCCCCTGCAGCAGCTCCCACGTGTGGGACTGTGTCTTCCCTGGGTGGCTCTGTGCCAGGTCTCTTTTCACTGCCTGTGGCACTGCCGGCTCCTGGGGGGCAGAGCCCTGTGCACCTGGCGCACGAGCCGCCCCAAAGCCCCTGGCCTGACTGGCAGGCACGCGCCCGGCTCTGCTACGTGGTCCAGGAACAAATGTTCGGCCATCTCAGCCTCCACCCACAAGCGACTGCCTCCTTCCCGCTTTCTGCAGTCACGCCCCAAACTGCCATCTCCCAGAAGCAGGGACAGTCCGGGCCAGTGCCCGGGGTCACCGGGCGGTGTCTGTGGACCCCCGGGACACCTGCCCCCCCCACGAATGGAATGCTGGCGCTCACCTGCAGCACCGTCTCCCACCTTCTCACCCTTCGCTCCCCCAACTTCTTCCTCAGCACATCCCCACCAGCCAGAAAGACTGTGTGGATTGTCACTTCCTGTCCCTTTACTCCCCAGATGATGGGCATTGTGAATACAGTGGATTTGCTTTCTCAACCCACAGTCCCTTCCGGCCCTGAATTCTAACACTTCTCCAGGGAGCAGGGCTTTCAAGCGTCCCGCATCATCTCCTTTCTCCGCCCCGACCTTCCTCAGGAAGTGACGCTTTCCCCAGGGCAAGCGGTCTCGGAGGGGCCGTCAGTGTAGGGGCCCTGTCCCCACCTGGCCAGAGGGCCAGCGCACAAGCCGCTGACCTGTGCTCTCTCTGCAGGTGACTTTCAGTAGCTTTGTCCCAGGGACAAAGCACGGTGCCCACAGACAGTGACGCCAGAGGGACGCTGCCGCTGCCACCCAGGTCCCCGAAGGAGCCCAGTCCCTCTGCACAGCCTGGCCGGTCAGCGTCCACGTTAGTGCTCTCTGGCGAGTAGCCCCGGGGGGAGCTGCATTTTGTGTAAGGTCCTCAAGTTGGGTCCTGTCGTTTACACCCAAAGGACCACAGTGGGCCCGCAACTCTGCCCACTGAGAATGATTAGCCTGGCGATAGTGGAGGCCTCTCTCCACCTCTAACAACCTGATCCCAGGAAACTCCCCCACCACAGCTGACAGGGCGCCAAAGTCCAGATGGAGGAGAAGAAAAAGGAAAACCCAAGAGCTACAGAAAGAAAAGATTTAAAAACCTGTGGCAGATCGCATTTACTGCGAGACAGACGTCCACCCCCCGGGGGGGGGGAGAAATAGACGTGGCCGCCTTGCATGTGGTGACCGCAGTGGAATGTGGGTGGGAATGTGTCGAGCCCAGACTGTTGGCTTTTTGGGGTGCCTCTGCTTGCTGTGATTTTTGTTATACAGCATTATTATGGCAATAGCTGATTAATACAGATCCTCTGTGATTTTGGCCGACTTTCAGACCGACCAGTTCCAGATTCTGCCAGCCTGCTAGGGTGGGGCTCCTGGAAGTCCTACCTGCCACTCTGACCTGGTTGGAGGCACAGGCTCTGCAGGGGAGCACCTGGAACTCTTCTGCCTGGTACATGGAGTAATCGGTACTGGCAACGACCAAGGTGTCTCCAGGCCTCCACGACTGCACGTCGTCCTCCAGAGTCAGGATGGTGCTGTTGACGCTGGTGTCGACGGTGACGGTGAGTTTGGGCCTCACTGCAACCCAAAGCAGGAGGGACTGGGATGACCATGGCTCTTGGCCCCTGGCCCACTTCTGACCCTCGCCTCCCTAAGTGAGTAAATGCCAGGTCTGCCTATCCAAAACCTCCATCGCCAGGTTCACTCCTTCTCGGGCTTGGTGCAGGGTTTTGAAGTCAACACCAGCCCCACCAGAAAAGAGCCATTCATCAGCTCTGGGCAGAGGAATTTTCCATTCGGCCCTCAGCTGGAGTTCAGCACGGATGCCTCACCACACCCACTTCGCTCGAGATGTAAAACAAATATAGTTCCTCTCCACTGTTATTTACAGTAGCTCTGAGCCCTTCCCCCAAAGACCTCCTGCCCCTAATGACTGCCTTCTGGCCTTCTGGAGACGGACAAGGGCCCCCACACAGAAATCGTCCATTTCTAGCCCCTTCTAACGAGCATCTCGGGAATGGGTTTAAAGTAACGGCACCCAAAGAAGCAGGAGGCTGCACGTCTGTGCGGGGCAGGGGGCACAGAGAGGTCGGCTCTGTCCTCTGCACCCTGGTTTTCTGGGGCCAGGCCCTTCTCCTTTCTGACAGACAAATGGGCAGGGTGGGGCCTGCTGGCTCCTGCCAACTCCGGGCACCCTCCCACTTCTCCTGTGTCATCTCACGCTCGGCAGGAGCTCCGTGTCACTGAGACCCTGAGAGGCGGCAGCCCCAGCCACCCGAACTCACAACGCACGGCCACGGCCGTGTTTCTGTGCCAACGAGGCACTGCTTACCGGGCCTCCCACACAGGAACCGCACTCGGTACCTCTGGCAGGCGTGGCCCCGGTCATAGCACACAAACCTATAATCCTGGCCTCTCTTGTAGACAACCTCGATGCTGAGGTTGGCCCCATCCACTGTCGTGGCCTGCAAATGGCATGGAAATTACAGAGCAAAGTCATTCTTTTTTTGCAAAGAAAGAAGGTGATGATTAATGCTATAAACATACACTCACAAGTCTAAAATTGTCCCTGAAGCAAAAAGCATGTACGATGGCCCAAGGCTACTCCAACGAGGGCACCGTCTGGTCATGGAGTTGCAGGGCCCGGCACTGCCAGTATCCAGACCAGGGGTTCATGTATGTCGCTGGGTGAATGTTTGAAGGAGAGCCCACTACAAGCGGATGCCCTCTTAGGAGCTGGGCTGGCCACCTACAGCTGCCGCCAGTGCCGCGAACAGTGGCGCCGTGAAGACTCGCCACGTCCCATCCACTGCTGATCCCACATCACACGGGGGCTCCTTACCAACCGCCCACGCCCGGGCCCTGTCCTGGCCTGCGATCCGACTGTGTCCGGGTGTGGCCAGGCGCAGCCCTTTGCCCGGCTGCCCCGGGGATTCCCAAGGGCCCTGAAGTCTGAGGAGCCGTGGAGCCGTGGAGCCGTGGAGCTCCCTGCCTGTGTGTACTCTCCCGCCCCAGCTTTACGGCAAAGCTGTGGTCTTTGCCAGCTTCACAGATGAGGAAATGGAGACTCAGAGAGGCTAAGGGCCTTGCCCCGGGGTCACAAAGCCAGCACGCAGCCTAGCCGAGCTTTGAACCCAGCCCTGTCCAACCACGGAGCCTGTAGCTGCCCCACCTCCTGTGGCCCTCCCGGCTCCCAGCCTGGTGTCCTCCTCCAACGTCTGCCTCCCCACGGACCGTGGGCTCTGGGGGAGCAAGGAGCAGGCTTCTGCTGCCTCCCTGACCCCAGCATCCACCCCGGGGCTCGGCGCGGAGGGGTCTCAGCTGACAGGGGCTGACGGAGGCTGGGGGGCAAGTGGCCTCAAGGCCAGGTAGGGAACGTAGGAGGCGCCTGCCTGCCAGCGGGGCCGCCCCGGGCTGGGTGTGTCCGGACGGGCTGTCATCGGACGCGCCCGGCTCCCACCAAGGGCTGCAGCTGCTCTCCTCCTGGGCACAGAGCAGAGGTGCCAGGGCTGGGGAAGCAGGGCTTCCCCCTGGGAAGGGGGCGCTTTTTAGGAAGCGCTGCTCTGAACCCAGGGGTTGCCCGTTGTCTGTGGCTTGGAAGGAGAGCACGGAGACGTGAGTTCAGCGCAAAGGAAGGGCAGCCTCTGCCTGCGAGCTCCACACACACGCCGCCCTGGCGGGGGCCTGCTCCGGGGAGGCGTGGAGCCTCAGAGCAGGTTAGAGGCTCCAGGTCACTGGCCACGCCCAGCACCTCGGACCCTCTGCGGCCAGCATCTGCTGTAGGAGACCCTGTCCTGCTGACACCGAGCTGGAAACACCAGCAGACAGAGCGGGACATGTGTCAGGAGACAAAATCCAGCCAACATTTCAAGGAAACAGCTACTCGATTCTGCTGCTTTTTCTTTCTCTTTCCTCTTTTGAACCCGAGGGAAGACCTTGGTTTCAGGTCACACAGAGAGCAGGGACAGAGCCCCGTTCGGTGGGACTGACCTTCACTGTGGTCAGCTGCACTGTAACTCCTGAGAATTAGTGGTCATGAAGTAACCGTCAGTGCCGCCATCGTCGTAACGAAGTAGCGTAATCTGAACACAAACCACTGGCGGGCACGCGCGGTTGCACCAAAACGACCCCACGAGGGGACAGCCGCTGTCCCCATTTCCCACGGGGGAAACTGAGACAGTCAGCCGTGACGGGACTGACCCCTTGGGCAGGACTGAGTGTGAGGTGCCGGGCCACAGGCGGCCTCCTTGACCACCTGCAAGCCTTCAGGTGAGTTGTTTAACTTTCGCAGCCTGGGATGGGCCGTGCGTTGACACTCAGGGAAGAGCCTGAGCCCGCGGAGGGGACGGCACAGTTGCTGGAGGAGAGGGAAGCGCCTGGCGGGGAGAGGTCATCCTCCAAACAGCTGTGGCCTGGGGCCGCCGCTGGCCGAGCAGAGGCCAGCGGCACCAGGCAGCGAAGGCGGGACACGTGAGCAACGCCCGGGGTTCCCAGAAACGTTTGGGGAGCAGAGCCTGCTGGACTTCTGCTCTGGACTTCCCACAGCCAAGTGAGCGGGCGAAGCAAGACTGGCTGCTTCAGCATCAAAGCTGAGGCGTTAGGCATTGCAAGTGAAAGTTAACATTAGATCCGGGAAGTATGGTGTTGGTGGGCGGTGGACTGTGGTGTGGGGGGTGGAGGTTTTGATTCTGTTGGACCCAAGAAGAGTCTACAACTTGCAACTTAATCTCAGTAAACCCTTTAGCTCTGGCTTTGAGGAGCGGTCCCTCAGCAAAGCCCCTCCGCATCCCAAGGGGGAGAGCCGACCCACCCCTACGGTCACACCACCTGGGCCAAGGGGGCTTTGTTGGCTAAAAGAACGAAATGGGCAGGGTGCTCTCTCCTGAACGGCCCCTGACTCTCCGCAAGCCCATAGGTGGCCCAGCCCTTGCTCTGGGACAAGACCGGGCAAAGGGAATGAACGCCGCCGACCCTGCCCACGCCTCGTCTCCCTGAGGCGTGCTGAGCACACGGCTCTGCAGCTGCACGGGCGACTCTCGAGGGCTGCGTGCTCACTCCGCGTGCTCGGGGTGAGAGAGTGCAGGTCCCCTTTCATCCTGAGCAAACACCGTCCGTCTGTGACCGCTGGCTTCTCCTCAGGAGACCCGGCTGTGGGTGTGCTCTGAGCCCCCAACCCCGGCTGGGTGCCGTGCACTGAAGGTCCTGAGGAGATGAGCTGAGAGGCGAGGCCAAGCCAGTGAAACCTGCCCCTGAGTTGGGCATGCCTGCAGGAGCAGGTGAGAAGGAAGGGGCCAGTAGGTGGGATCAGCAGAGAACCTGCCCCTGCAACTCCCCAGCCAGAGGCTGGAGCCGACCGTGAGCCTGTAAACTGGGAATGGCAGTCTCTGGTCACCTGTGTGCTGTGAGGGCCACGGCAGCCACACCACCCAAATGACAAGAACGTCTGAGACCTACAGTCTTCCCCAAAATAACCAGGCAACTGTCTCAGGCTGGTACCTGTATATCAAGTGGGCGGTTGCAGATTTTTCCTGGGTGAGCCGCCCGGAGGTCTGAGATTTTCTCCCCACCTTTCGTGTGTGACACTTTGTCATGGTCGATCCACTCGGTCCACTCCACATCTAGGCAGGAAGCAAGGAGACGGTCAGACAGGGAGGCCTGAGGGGGGCAGGGCAGGCTTGGGGACGCCCCCAGGCACCCTCGGCACAGCGGACGAAGTGCCATCTGCCTGGGACTGCCCGGTCTGGAGAACAGCTTGCCACCTCTCCCAACTTCTAAATAAAGACACCTCTTAGTTTATAAAAGCAATAGATATTCTTCATTGTTGCAAAAGGAGAAAGACGAATCCCCGTGTGAGCCCACTGGGCAGGGACTGCTGCCACCTGCACCCCGCGCCCCCCTGTGTGCAGGCTCCCTGCAGGCCGGGGCCAGCAGCCCCACTTGCAGTCCCTGCCCGGCACTGCTGCTGGGCCCAGGGGGGGCGGCTTCACAGACGGACTTCAGGCACAACCTGAGCTGACCCTGCCACACTGGAGCGGCCTCACTGATGCCAGAGAAAAACACTTGTCCTGCAAGCACAGTGCGCCCTGGCCTTCTGCCCCAACGTCAGGTTTTCCTGGCTGTCCCAGGCGCCTCACCTTGAACCCACTCGCTGGATGAGGAGACGTTGAAGTATTCGCCGTGCTCCGACCGGAACAGCTTGAACACCCGGGCAGCGACTGAGCCGCGGTGACCTGCTGGAGATGGGACATTCAGCAGCAGATAGACCCCCATGCCCAGAGCAGCATGAGTCTAAGGCAGGAAGGCTCCCCCAGCACGGGGCTCTGGGGCCACTTCTTTAAAGGAAAGCTCCAGGCTCATCTCACTTGGAAGCAGATGATGGTTCCTCTCTTGCTCCGGGTTCGGAAGCAGGGCTGCACCCACACCGTCCGCAGCTGGGAGCCGGGCATTTCTGCTGTGGGCCCCCCTCTGCGCCCAGCCCCAGCCGCGCCTCCCGCCTCCTGCTCCGGGCAGGGGCAGCTGCCACCACAAAGGCCCATCCAAAGTGTCTTTTTAGCTCAAAATACTACCCCTGCTGGCTCTGTCCCAGCCCCCACCTTGCCTATGCCCCTTGTTTAGGATTAAGTTGTTAACAAAAATAATGAGCAGACCTACTCTCAGACGGCTCTGGAGCTGCCACCCCAGAGGAACTGCCTGGCAGGTCCCACCCCTCAAGTCTCTGGGCCGTCAGAACAGGGCCGACGGCCATCGCATGGGGCCCGCAGTTTGCAGAGAGAGCGAGAAAGCAGATCTGACGGGCCGACAGCTGCCCGGGCGACTCCCGGACCGAAGACGAGAAGGCCGCGCAGACCGCACACCACTGCCCCGCAGCCCCTGCCCCCACGGCGGTGCCTCCCGGCTGCAGGCGGAATCGCCACCCCCTCTCTTTGTCTGCCCACGGGAACCCTATTCGTGCTTCTGCCCGAATTAATGTTTCCCCAATAGCTATTTTTACTGATCTCAAATAAACACAGGTTGCCTCTCACTCTGAAAGGCCTTTTACTTTCAGGTTAACAAAGTCAGTGATGAGTTCTCTGAAAATGTATTATCTTATTGATTGGCCTTCAGTAGAGTTGGCTTGTGGCCCTTCGATGGAACAGGGTCGGGCCGCAGGTGGGGGGAGCTGGGCCGGCACGCTCCGGGGGCGGGCCGGAGCGCCTCCGCCACAGACGCTCGGGGGACCGCCAGCCATGCCTACCGTGATACTCCATGTGGTCTTCCACGGAGGCGGCAGGGCTCCCCTTCACCGTCACGAAGCTCCATGGGTGTCTGAAACCAACAACAGGAGTGACGTTCTTCACACGTCCAAGCCCGAGCTGGGGGCGGGCAGCCCGCAGGCGTCTGGGGAAGTGAGTTCCCGGGCTGGGCTTCCCTTCCCCACATCAACAGAAGTTTTTTTTTTGCAAGGCTTGCCGGGCATTTGCGTGTTATGAGCCTCCAAGATTTCCTGGGCCAACACGAGGCATGAAACACAAACAAACAAGCCCAAGACCTGCCTCCACCTGGGGATTGGCAACAGGCTTTGGGAAGGAAAGAGATGCCTCTTCTCAATGGGGCATGACGGAGAAAGAGGACGTGTGAGGGACTGGAAGCCACCCAGCCTCCTCCCTCCCCGGGGAGCGCTCGGCTGGGGGGCAGGAGGCCTTCTCCCCACATGCCCAACACAGCCTCTCGCCTGCTGGCGGGGGGGGCAACAGCTCTGCCCCCCCATAGCTTCTGTGGTTTCAGCTCTGACCTCTGATCCTGGGAAGTGAGCCTCTCACTGAGGCCAGGGATCTGGCTGTGTTGCTCTCTGTGGATCCTCAGTGCCCCCTGGGTGCAAACCAAGCTCCCCGACGTGGGGCGAGGGCCCTCCTCTGCCCACCTCCCAGCCGCATCCCCACCTCCCTCTGCCGCACGAGGCTGCTGCCTGTCCTTGCCGTCTTCCGGAAAGCCACACACCCGCCCTGGGGACCCTGAGCCTCCTGGTCCTCCTGGGGATCTGCCTGCCCCCATTTTCCCCTGCAGGTCTGACTAAAGCCCCCCTCTCTCACTCATGGATGTCTCATCCTGCCCCTTCCTATCTGCCTTCCCACGACAGCTTGGGACGCTGAGTTGGCCCCCCAGCCTCATGCCCACAGCTGCTCGGGAGCCACTGCTGGAATGAATGAAGAGATGAAGGGGCAGGTCTCAGGCCTTGCACTGATGGACATTTTGAGTTTGTCACTTGAGGTGTTTGTACAAACGAGGGGTAAAAATTCCTGCACACCGAGGTCCTCTGCCCGCGAGAAGGACCAGGGCAGACCGTGGCAGGGCCATCCTTCCTGCGGCTCTTGTTTCTAACGTTTACCGACTCCTCCTCCTGTGCTCCTGCAGTCTGTCACCTGTGACCCTCCCAGCAGTCCCTGGAGGCGGCTCCCACATCTCGCATTTTACAGGTGCAGGAGCCACTTGAGGAGAGGTGAGTCACTTGCCTGAGGTCACACCTGATAGGAGGCACAGCCCAGACTCAAAATCAAGTCAAATTGGATGCCAGGTCTCAGGCCTGGGTCACCTCCTTCTGCTAAGGCCCTAGGGAGCCGGGCCTATGTGGCTCAGCCTGTTGCAGTGAAGGAACGCACTGGCCCTGGGCTTACAGAACTGTGCGGGCAGAGGAGCCCTGCGGCCCCGCGGTGCCCCAGCATCTCCAGCTGGGCGCCCTCTGGAACCCAGAACACACCCTCTCGCTCCCAGGAAGGCTTCGGTGCTCAAAAAGGCTCTGGCCTGCCCCCACTGGGCCCGCAGCCTGCGGGGCTGATGGGAAAGGCGCCGCTGTCCCCATAGCTTCCCTCGGAGAGGAGCGCTGACCCAGCCTGAGAGAGAGGCGTGGCTGCCGCGGGGCAAACGGCTTCCTCTCGGTGTTGAGTGGGCGTGTGCCGAAGTTGGCACAGGGCTCAGGCTGAGGCCATCAGAGCTCAGAGCAGGAGACGCCGAAGTGCCCTTCCTGGGGGCTGGGTGGGGGGCTGGGTGGGGCACTGTGTGGCCTCTAAGCAAGGTCTGCCCATCTCCCGGGCAGAGTGACCCCTCTGTCAGAGGAAGGGGACGTGGGCTGTGTCCACAGGAGGCCTGGCTCTCACACACTGCAGACGCTTGGCCCGTTCTTTGTGAGTGGCTGACTGGATCAATGAATGCGATACGACAGGGACCTTTTGCTCTGTCAGACTGAAACATGCTTGTAAGAAATACCAGCTTCCCGTTAAGAACAAACCATAACGTGTCCTGTGCAGATGGAGAGTGAGCCGCGTCTCCGTCCCCAGGAGCGGGAGGCTCCGTGGGGGAGGCGGGGCTCCCATGTTCTGGGGCCTGGAGGAGTGGGGGTGTCGGGAGGTACCTGAACCCGAGGTGCAGGAAGTGCTTGCTGCCCAGTTTGGTCATTGCCTTCCGGGCTGAGTCGTCCAGGTTTCGAGACCCTTCATCATTCACCGCGATGGACAGGATCATGCCGTTGGGCACCGTGTTCAGATACTGCACCAGACGCTCGCTCTCCTTCTTAAACGTGTAGGTGTCAAACCTGAGGAGGGCAGAGACCGTTCAACAGTCCCGGCAGCAGCCAGAAGCACCAGAGTGAGGCTGGTGTCTTTCTTGCAACAACCGACCTGCCACCCCAAGGTCCCAAGGGCTCTGATTTTTAGAGAGAAGTTTTTTACAGCAAAATTCAAGCATCTCAAACTGGGTGCTGACAATCAACCCTCATGCACAGAAAGTGAAATACATAAAAGTGACTTTCATGCACAGAAAGTCAAAAAGTCTACACCACTGGGGACAGAATTTACAAAGCAAAGACACAATTTTGTAACGATGCCCACTTGCCCCCACGTAGCTACAAAGATTTTGTGCAATTAAAATGGAAACTGCAAAGGAATTTGTCTTGGGACCTAACTGGCAAAATCGTTCTAAAATGAAACTAGAAAAATAAAGCCGTGTGAAGAGTCAAGATTTTGGAAAAGAAAACAGTGGTCAGGGGCGGTCAGCGGGACGTGCTTCTGAGTCACCGTTCGAGGCGCCCAGCCCGCCCCCCGAGGCCCCTCCCGAGCAGCGGGCAGCAGCAGGCCGCCCGGCACTTGGACCACGCCACGCGCCCGCGCCTGCCTTCCCTCTCGCCTGCTCACCTTCTCGCTACCTAATCAGATGCTTCCTCCCTTTCAAGCACACACACCTATGTTATTATTCCTCCAGGTAACCTTCTCTGGCGACTGTGGTCTGCATTTATGTGTGTGTGTCTAGAGCTTGTTATTATCTTCACTCAGACACAGATTCCTGAGGCCACTGACACATGAGTGAAGCAGCGTGGGAGGGGCCAGGCGCCTGTCTCTGGAGCCTCCACAGCCGCTGTCAGGAAAGCCACGTCCCCAGTTCGGTAATGAACTCATCACGGGCTGGCTTTCTGCGAGCAACCCTGCCACACTGACTTAAGAAGCCGTGCCAAGAGGCCAGCACGGAGCTGGGGAAATGGCCCCTCTGCTGTGTGGGGAGGACTCTCCAACATGCTTGCCACCTGCCCTGCCCCTCTTGGCTGCCCGTGCTCCTGTGGGCCCAGGCAGGTGGCCGTCCCCAGGGCACCCAGGAAGGCAGCACAGTGGGAAGGGCCCGGGCCAGTGTGGGTCTGAACCCCAGCTTCCCCCGTCCCCGCCTTGTGACTCTGAGCAAACAGGGGCCCCAGGCCTCGGCGTCTGCATCCCGCGGATCCTGACAGGAGGGGAACCTCAGCACCAGTCACAAGGGACGAGACACGGCAGCATCCTGAGTGCCCGTCCGCAGACAGGGGGACTGTGCCTCAGCCGCATGGCAGGAGGCGACCGGCCGCCTGTGATCGGATGGGCCAAGAGGGGGTCCTGCTCAGTGGGCTGAGTCAGGGAGAGGCACATAACACGGTTTCACTTACAGTGGAATCTAAAAAGCAAAATGAAGGAACGAGCAAAACAGAAACTCGTAGGCACAGAGAACAGCTGGGAGGGGGCTGGGGGCGGGGCGAGGCGAGAAAGGGGCGGGGGTGAAGAGCTCACGCTGCCCGTTATGAAAACAGCCCCCCGGGCAGGCCGCAGGGCACAGGACACTGGCTCAGTAACGCTACAGCACGCGTGTGCAGCTGGGAGGGCACCGGATGACGGGGCGGTCGCTTTGTCAAGTGTGCAAGTGTCTAACCACTGTGCTGTGCTCATGACACTAATATAATACTGTATGTCACCTATAATTAAAGAAAAAAAGAAAGGAGGAGAAGAGAAGGCCTGGGCCTGAAGGGGCACGCTGGGCTGGAGGAGGGCAGTGCCCAGGGCCGGGGTGAGCACACACGGGGCAGGGGGAGCAGAGCCTCAGGCTCCACCTTGGCTGGATGCCATCCTGGCCCATTTCCATTCGAGGATGGAGCCCACCGCAGCCCCAACCAGACCTCCCCATTCTTGGCCTCACCCACTGTTCCCCACAGGGCACCTCAGCCAGCGTAAGTGCCTCACAAACCCCCGTGACAGGGTCAAGGATGAGCCTTAGGGATGGGGTCTGTCACCATAAGGACCCAGCCGGAACCCACAAAGTGCCGCTGGACTCTCATTACTCGTGAATTCGGGCCCTCGGTTCCCCATGGGGAGTCTGTCTCAGCGGATAAATTCCTCACCAGGGCTCATATCGAACAAACGTCTCCCTTCAGGTCCACACGGCCTTTGGTCAGGAGAGACCTCGTCCGTGGCAGGTCCCGTAGATTGATTATCAGGAGGCCACACCCTCCTACCGACGTCCACGGCACAGCCGCTGTGAAGCTGCAGCCGCAGTGTGCACCGGTGCCGGTGGCAGCAAACCCACCACCCTGCCAGTTGCAGGAAAGCACAGCAGATGCAGTTACGACCACAACAGTGAACGAGCACGTCACAGGTCACTGCGCGCACTGCACTACGGCCCTGATGTCATGTTCGAGTGTGCTCTCTCTGCCTACAATGGAAAGCCGGCTGCGAACCCACACACCCCGAGTCCCCTGATCGCATCCCTTTCCCGGGCGCTGCTTCGTAGGGCCAGCGCCGCCTGAGCTCACTGCTCCCAAAGTCTGCAGCCGGGGCAGTCGGGGCCTGGGCCTCGCCTGCCCCACCACTTGGGCGCATCCGGGCAGCTTCGGTCCCTCGGGCTCCGCTCACAGGAAGCACCCTGCACACACCGCGGACCCTGTTCCAAGTGATCGTTCTGCTGCTCTTGCACGCACTGCTCCTTCTCCACGGTCAGGTTCACAGAGGCCTGACGCCGTGTTACCGCGGCCCTGACACAGGTTCTCAGAGGCCGTGTTACCGCGGCCCACCACATTCGGTACGGTGACGTGCCGTGCAGGTGTGCGGCCCGGAGCCGAAGGCTGGACCCCACAGCCGGGTGCAGGGAGTCCCCACCTGGTGTGTGTATGGACACTGTGGTGTTCACCCAATGACGATGGAACCGCCCCTCATCCCGTCCCCACGGTTAAGTGACGCAGGACCGACAAAACTGCCTGCTCCATTTTGCTACCGCTTTCTGCATCCCCACCTCTCTGCTGGCTTTCCAGGGTGTGAGAATACCATACCCTCTCCACCCCTGGCCCTTCTGTGCCTGCCCGTGGACACTCTCTCCCCAACTGGGCCTCACTGTGCAGCTTTCAGCTTGGAAGGGCAAGGCAGCCCTTTCCTGACCCTTGGGTGCAGCCGGTCTCCCCCCGTGACCCTGCCCTCCACGCGCCCGTCCCCAGCCGCACGGCACCACTGCCTGGAACCACGCCGTGTGCCTATGCATTTGTGTGTGCATGCATGTCCCTGGTGCGTGCCGCCCCCTGGGCGAACACCTTCAGAAAGGGAGCCGCTCCCTAGGTCAGGGGTTCTGTGCTGCACGAGGAGCAGCCCCGGCTTAGGCACAGGCCCAGTGAATGTGCGCCAAACCAAGGAGTCTGTGTTTCAGTGAAGACAAACCTTACCGGTCACAATGGATGACTGTCCCTGATTTGGGGTCAATGACATGAACAATGACCCCACGGTGACCCCAGCTCCTCTCAAAAAAATAGCCTCCGTCCTCCATGCCACCCGGGTGAAGGGTCTTGTTCAGAAACGTCCAGGAGAGCTTTTTCTGGCCGTGCAACTCCAGGGTGCCTCCCTGGCCGACTCCGACGTACTTCAGCCCGAAGTAGGGGTCTGGCTGAACACCTTCATCAGCCCTAGGAGAGAAGACAGCTTTGTGTGGCTGCGGATACCCCTCTGTGCCTGACACTGCACCCGGGGTCCGTCACTCTTCTGGACTCCCCCTGTGGCCACCACTTGCGGTGTCACCAGGTCGGGGAACTAGCCTTGCAACTGCATCTTCCACACCCAGACCACAGGGACGCCAAAGGCCAAGGGCACCACGCGGCTTCGGCTCACGTGTTGGCACAGCTCTCAGTGCTGAGTGTCTGACCATGTGGTCCCCAACACACACGGAATCTCCTGCATGTGAGCTGCCCACCCTTGTGTACTTGTGGCTACTGCTTCTCACAGTTCTCAGTTGCTTGAGGACGGGGTGCAGCCAGGGGCGAACACTGCAGAGCATCTGCTTCATTTCGTCTGTTACAAGCCGTTAAGATAAACACAGCCACCCTGAGCCATGCCACACTTGGAGGCAGCTCAAAGGCTGGCATGGACTTCTGTGACTTACGCACGGGCCCAGGGCGCTACAGTGACAGGCCCGATGTACCTGTCCAGCCTGCCCCGTCACCGATGTCTGCCCTGTCTGCGAGTATGGTCTGGCAGTGCGCAATGACTCCATCCTGCCGTAAACCCTGGCCGTCTCGCCCCCCTCTCTCTGTTAGAAAGCCTCCCTCCCATCGGATCCAAGAGTAGCATCTGACCCCTGCATGCCGTCTACCCACCTGCCATACAAAACGATGCTGAAATTGCCCTGGAAAGGGCAGAGGGCACTCCCAGCATGCAATTCTCCTCCATTGTCAATCAGGATGTGCCGGGCATGCAAAACAATGGTCTCGTGGTCTTTAATGACTAGCTTTCCTGAGGGGACAGGAATGGGGCGAGGTTAAGAACACGGGCGGCGGGGTGAGGTCGAAGCAGAGGCAACGGCGGGCGTCCCGAGTGCCCACCCCACCCGAGCAGGCAAGAAGCACCTTGTTCACAACCCTCTGTGCTCGCCTACTTTTCTCTCCTCTCTGCCTTGCAACGTGCACACACTGGCTGCCGGACTTCCTGCCATCCCTGCGAGCACAGCACTCAGTGCACCAGCCTCTGAAGGCAAGATGAGCCTTATGCTCGGAGCTCCGGGAAGGACCTTGCTCTACGAAAGCTCCCCTCTCCATGTTCGGTCCTCAGACAAGTCTCCCCTAGGTGCTCATAGGCAACGGCTATCGCAGAGAAACAGCTGCTCCCACACAAACCCAAAGCACGGGGCTGCCCCGTCCACCTGAAGCGACAGTGCCCCGCATCCAGCTGCCCGGCTCCGAGCAGTGCAGAAGAGAGTGCCCAGGGAGGGACTGGCTCACCTCCGTCGGAGATGTGGATGGAGTGGACAGTGGCGGACGAGGTCAGCAGGAGCGCGCTGCCCTGGCCGATGGACACACGGTGGTCCCGGTTGTGGCCCGGGCTCCAGGGCTGCAGCCCGGGGCTCTGGTCAGGGCACTCAGCCACCCCTGTGAAGGATGAAAAGACATCAGAGCCCCCGCGCACCGACCTCCCCAGGCAAGACCTCCTCTCCGAGGCAGCCAGTGCGCCACACGCCTGTGGCCCCGTCCCTCCCTGGAGCCCAGCCCCGCAGCGCCCGCCAGTCCTATCTCAGGCCCTGCATCTCCTTCACCAAGTTTACTGAAGTGGCTCTTCCAGCCAGCAGGTGCAAACCCAGGGGACAAATGACAACAACACAGGGGTCTGGCTGGTCAGCAAACCAGTCAGCGAGCTTTCCGTTTCTATGCAGGGCAGGGTGCCGGGAGGGGCAGGAGGCATCTGCCTCGTCACTCTGCAGCCTCACCCCACAGAGGGGCTTCGTGGGGACGCTGCCGTCCCTGGGTTTGCCCTCAGACGGCAAGTGCCGGTAGGCCTTCAGCAGAGGCACATCAGAGGACCCGGGCTGCCCTCCACCTCATCCTGGACCTCGGGGGTCTGGTTCGCAAGAAAGTGACTTCCCAGTTGTGCAGGAAACATGAGGCCAACGGGTGGGCCCAGTGGTCCAGGCACAAAGCCACAAGCTGGCTGAAGAGAAATCATCCCAAACCCACAGTGCAAAGCCTCAGGTCTCGGCAGCCACGCCTCCCAGGACAGTGCTGACTGCCCCTCACTCTCCACGTGGCCGAGTGTGTCAGACTGTGCACCTGGGGTCGGGGGCAGCAGCTCTGACCCCACAGTGAGAGCACAGCAGTCACAGGGCCGGCCTGGCACGGCCGCACCTTCGCTGGACCCAGATGCTTAGCTCTCGGTGAAGGTTACTTTCAGTGGCTGGAAATGGTCAGTGCCTGCGCTGAACAGTCACTACGGCAACCACCCTTCCCAGGAGGGACTGTGGGAAGTAGGAGGCAGGGACAGTGAGTAAAAGCCGGAACTACTTGGACTGTGAGTGGCCACGGTTGGTGCCTGCATCCCTCTGACGTCAAAGAAAAGCAGGGATCAGAGGGAGCCAGACTTTCCAAAGGGTCTGTCCTAAAAAAGGATGGGGAACCAGGTGCAGGAGGGAAGGCTCAGAGCAGGGCCAAGGAGACCTCCCCAAGGCCCTGCCACGGGTCTCCAAAAGAGAGACCCCAACCAGCCCCGGGCCCAGGCCCAAGGCCCGCGTGGTGTGTCTTCGCTGAGTGAATGGCAAGAGGGTGAGTGGCCGACTGTTGCATTCAAGAGTTTAAGTGCCAGTGGCTTGCTCTGTCCCCTGCGTGTGCGTCAGGAAGATTCCGCAAAAAATTGCCTTGAAGGAATTTCACTAGTGAGGTTTAGAGATTACTTCCTTCACTGGGTAGGGTGAGAAAAACCAACACATAGCTCCTTTATTCTTATTGTAGAAAAGCAACCAGCTCAATTCTAATTGTAGAATAGGGCTTTTTTTAAAAGAGCAATTGGTGGTGATCCTGCAATCACTAAACCTCTAATCAAAATTTAAAACTTGTCCCCGGTCTCTACCTTTCCCCCCATTTTGGCGTATTTGGTCACTGTTTCCTGTACTGGCCGAACTGGCCTTGGGCTTCTGGATGTTCATTCAGAATCATGCAAAGAGAGGTTGCTCCTGGGATCATAAAAACAGACTCAGGCTCGTGTAAGGCTCGCACACACACACTCTCAGGACGCCCAGACCTCACGATGGGAAAGCAGGAAGGGGCCGAGGCGTCCTGCCGGTGACAGGAGGGCTCTCGGGCATGCAGTGTGGAAGGTCTGACCTGGCCGCCGACATGTGACAGGGAGGGAGCTTTTAGGTGAAGCTCTAGATTTCTGGCTTCTCTTAAAAATTCACAAGATCCTACAAGGGCCGCACCTCCACACAGGGCAGCAACGTGCCACAGCCTAGAAGAGGGTGTCGCTTGACAGGGGCCCGAAGGTCCCTGTTCCAGGTGGCCACGGTCCCCGCCCGGCCAGCTTCCCTGGCTTATGCCATGTGCCCGGCTCCTGAGACACTGAGTTTCCAGCCCCTGAGCCTAGTGCAGCCACTTCACTTTGTGAAAGATGAGCCGGAAGCCCAGGACGAGGCTTGTCTGGCATCGAGAAGTTAGCAGGCCCCGTCAAGAGCCCCGGCTCCCCACCCGGCCCCTCCCCGGCCTGCTCCTGCTCCATCCCCGCTCACCTGCGGTCCAGGCCCCACCGAAGACAGTGCAGAGGAGCAGGCTGACTGTCAGCATCACCTCAGAGGAGCAATCCTGCCTCCCGGCCAGTCCCATCCTGGCTGAGGTTTCCCTGAAACACAAGGACGGCAGGTCGGCCCGGCATCCTCCCGGGCAGACGCACGCAGGCCGGCCACGTGCTCGCCCTGAGGCAGTGCCGGGCAGCTGCCCCGGCCCCCGTGACTCAGTGTGGGCAGGTCGGGGCACGCACCCCGCACCCTGCGCCCCGCCACCGCCCCGCCCCCGTCCTGCGGCCCAGAGACCCTGCCGCAGGTGGGGTTTCACCTTCGATGCTCTGGCTCCCTCCCTTCCATGATGAACCTTTCTTTTTCTTAAAACACAGCCAAAAGCAAAACTACTCCTATTGACAGAACCTGGGAGTTCGATGTTGCCGACTTACTGTGTGATCTCAGCTGCTTTCACGAACCTCTTTGGGCCTCAGTTTCCTAATCGGGAAAAGAAGGGTATAAAGTGACCAATTTCTAAGCTTGACGCCACCCTTATCTGTCTGTGTCTGTAAAACAGGACTCAGCAATAACACCGGAACCCTGAGTACAAGGCCTGTGTGTTATAAACCCTCCTGGGACCACCCAAGAGAAAGGCAGGCGCAGAGAGAGCTAAGTCCCCCAGCGCCCACTTTCCTCCTTACTCAGCGAACAGCCCTGATGTTGACCCGGGCCCAGGGCCACCGAGCATGAAGGCCACCTTCTCCAGCCTCTCTCTCATCTGCTGTGGCCTTTGGAATTACGCTCTGGCCAACAGGGCAGACGGGCAGAGTGTGAATTTAAGGCAGCGTTCCTAAGGGGAAGCCTCCAGGAAACCTTCCTTCCAGCCGTCCTGCTGGCTGGAACTGGGATGTGATGGCCAGATCTTCGGCAGCTATCTCTGGCCACGTTGGGGAGCCAGGCACTGGTGACGGCAAAGCAAATGGAGAGAATCCAGGCTCCAACCTCACAGAGGACGGAGCAGCCCTAGACGACAGATCCACTTTGATGTGAGAAGGGTTTGCTTCACAGCCATTTTACTAAAGCCACTCATTTTTCCCCCTTTTATTCATGCAGGTGAGAAGGGGATCTGTCTAGATAAACCCCAAGGCAGAAACTTTTTAAAAAGACGCCAGCCTGTCCTTTCAGGATACAATGCTGCTTGGAGAAAGGCCTTTGTGGTCAGGTCCCTTGTGGCAGGCGGACTGCGCAGCCTGGGCTCCTGCCCACGTCCCCGGTTCCTCCCCCGAGCCTGACTGTAGTTGTGCCCAGATTCAGACAGATAGTCCACACACAGAGAGAAGTGGCTCAGACCTGTCTCACGCCTCCCTCTGGGCCAGTGGGGGGACAACCTGATCACCCTGCCCTTCCACTACGGGGTGAGCCCTTTCTGAGCCTCCAGGAGCTGGGGCTGCAGGTAGGCCTGAAAGGGGGCAACTGGCCCTGAGCCGGGGTCTCCACACAGGTGTGCCGGGAGCCTGGGGAGCAAGGGGACGGTTCTCCCAGATTCAGTGTCTGTGGTGTCCTTGCAACAGGCTTCCTGCCAGGCCCAGGCCCAATCCGCAGAGAACAACAGGGCTCATTCTAGTGCCTCAGCCCATGGCTGAAGTCACGCATCTCGATCTGGGAACGGCGCCCTTCCCACGACCCCAGCAGAGGAGCGTCCGCTTTCATGGTCTTTGCCATGAAAAGGAGGGGACACTTGGGACAGGAGCGCTTTATCGTCCTGAGCAAAAAGCCCAAGCCCTGCTCGAGTCTTCTTTGGTCAGAAAACCAGAGGTGGTTTGCTGTCTGCTGTGGAGAAGCCCTAAGTTGTCAAGGGCGCCTCTGAGGGAGCCTGGCCTCCGGGTCCAGGAGCTGCTCCCTTTGCAGTGAGGCAGCAGGGGGCGGGGGCAGTCTGGTGACCCTCTGCATGGTGGTGCTGCCCTCTGGGCCTGCCCATCCTGGTGCAGAGAGGAGGCTGACCGCAGGCTCTGGAGCTGCGGCACCGTCTGGTCCGTCACCGCCCATGGCAGGGACCAGACCGGTCACTTCCTGCGTGGATGTGCGGACGAGGCCCCTTGGAGGGACTGTGCGCAAACCTCTCCTTTCTGACGTCCCAGAGCCAGCCCTGCCCAGGCCGTGGACACCACATGGCTGGGGGGAGGGCTGTGTGCTCCCTTGCCCGTGAGTAGCTTCCGTCACCTGACTGTGTGCTGCAGCCCCCAGAAACAGTCTCAGGAAGGGAACCCCAAATGGTTCTCAAATTCCACTTGGGGGTTCAACGCCAAGGGTGGACAGCTTTCTCGGTTGGCCACCGCAAGCTCTCTGGCATTGCCATTGGGGTCGGCTTCTCCAGATGCCAGGGCATCTCTGGGAAATGAGTCCAGGGAGGCCGAGGACAGGCGCTGTCAGCAAACAGTACGAGGAGTCTCCGCAGGAGGCTGGTGGCCAAGGCCAGATGGCCACTGCCCCTGCTGGTCCCAATGGCCGGAGCTGTCCTGCTCCTCAGCAGAGCCCGTGGGGACAGAGAGCCCACACCCGTCTGCGCAGGCCAGTAGTCCAGGCCCTCAAAGCCACAGGGGACGCTTTCCAGAGGCTCTGTCACCGTCCACTGCACTCAGTCCCCATGCTGCCAGGCCTCACAGGAACTGGGCAAGGCAGGCGCCAAGCAGGAACCAGGGACACCGCCTGCCGCAGCGTCTCGGCCTCTCCTGGCTGCCATCGCAGCAGGCACCAGGTCTCCCTTCTTCCTTCGGAGGCTCATCCACAGCTGCCTGGGTCCAGGGCTTGTCGCCTGCACGGGGAGAGAGAGGGGCAGCGTTACTCCAGCCTCCAAGGGGCCCCAGATGGTTTTTCCTTCATTTTCTGTAGATTCCCTGTAACGTATGAAGTGGCCACCCCAGTAAGTCTAGTACCTGCCCGGCACCAGGGACGGCTATCACAGTCCTGCTGACCTCATTCCCCGCCGCACTTTTCCTCCCTGTGACTGGCAACGCCTGCTTCCCAATCCCTGCCCCTTCTGTCCCCAGCCCTCAGCCCCTCCCATCCCCAAGTCCCCCACCAGCAGCCCCAGCAGGCACATGCCTGCCCCATACATCCCTGGCCTCGGGGGCGAGAGGTCCTCTTTCTGCAGGGACTGCGAAATCAGGGCTCCCTTCGGGGATTATCAGAGGCCGAGGGAGAAGGCAAGGGAGAGGGTCGGTCTCCGCTGGGAGGCAGGGGGCAAGGTGGGACCTGCAGGGCGACCTGAGACAGCGCAGGGACGGCCACTACCCCACCCCACCCCGTACACCCGGCACTGAGGCCATTTCCATGTCACACAGACTCAGACGAGCAGCACCGTGTGGAGACCAGAGCCGGGGCCCCAGCCTCTGCAGGCCCAGCCCCACGGCCTGCACCGGGAAAGCTGTGGGAGCGCCTGGCCTGGAGTGTCATCCTCAGAGCTGGGGCGGCCCCTGTCGATTCCCAGGGACCGAGGAGGTGCTCCGCCTGAAGTGCCGCCAGCTCTGCGCCTGACGCACCAGCAGTGCGCAAGTCCTGGGGGCTCCTGGAATCCAGGACCCTGGGGCGTGGAACCCGAGAGCCTGGCCCCGCAGACTCTGGCCCTGCAGCGCTCGGTTCAGGTTCTGCTTGTCCAGCCAGCTCTCTGGGGAGGCTGCTGCCCCTGCTGCTGGGGCTGGGCCGCTCTCTGAACAGCAGGCCCCTAGTTCCAACCCCCCACACCATCCTCGCCGGTCACTGCAGGGCTCACCGAGGCCCACGGAGCAGAAGGGAGTCACTCTCATCAGCGGGGAGCAGCACAGAGTCTGAACCAGTGTCTGACACAGGGGCTGCTGCCTGACCCCAAGATATGGGGCGTGTGTCACCCTCCCCGCCACCTGTTTCAACTGAGAAGTCACTTCACGTCTCGTTGGGAGAGGCGACAGGCCTCAGGGATGGTCTGTTTGCCCACAGTTCCTTAAAGGATCTGCCCAGGAGGGAGCACCTCCCTGGACAGGGACTCCAGCTGCGGGAGCCCGCAGCGCCCCAGGGTAGAGAGGAGCAAGGCAGCACCCCAAGCACACTGGAGCCCACTCCGGCGGGCCCAAATCCCCATTGCTCCCCAAGTCGGGTGCCGGCCGGCGGCTCCCTAGCCTTTACCACTGCAGCTCGGAAACCACGCTTTCCCTCGCCCCCCTGGGCACACGTGGCCCTGGCGTCCCGTGCGCCTCCTTGCACCGGAGGGCGGGGGAGCAGGAGGTAAGGTTCTCGCCCCGGCACTGCCCCACGCACCAGGCACCGCCGGCGAAGCCACAGGCTTGACCCTCCCACCCAGGCGATGCGGCCTAACGAAGAGGCCACTCTCGCTTGGGGTTAACTGCGGGGGTAAGTCACGCGGCCACAAGGAAGCAGCGCACTCTGCCTGGGGTTTCAAAAGCTCTGCTGTCTGAGCCGGCAGCTGCCGGCCACAGGTAGTGTGCTGGGTGCATTTAGATTCCACCTGAGTCAGATACAATTAGAAACCCGGCCACGCATTCACAGCAGACAGCTTCAGTGCTTGGGAGCCATCAGCCGCCAGTGGCTGCCGGGCTGGGCCGCTGGCACCTGGAATGCCTCCGGGGCTGCAGAAGCTTGTGTTGGACACACAGCTCGGGGTCAGAGCCCCGGTGGGGGCCGAGGGTGGGTCAGAAGGTCCACACTCGAGCTGCAGCTCAGCCCAGAGCCCGGTTCTACCGCTGCTCTCCCTGACCAGGAGCGCAGCCCACTCCAGACCTGCCGGCCTGCTGGGTCAGGGGCTGGGGTCCAGCCTCCCGTGTCCCCGAGCCTGCAGGAGCCGGCGCTGTGCGCCCACTGCCAGCACCGCACTCGGACAGCCCCACGGCGGGGGCTGCGTCCTGCCTCAGCGAGAGCGGCTCTCACGGGCAGGGCCCGGGGGCTGCGCTGCCAGGCCCCTAGAGCACCAGAGGGGTCCTGCGGGGCACACGGGTTTGGCCGGTGTACTGCACGGGACCTGGGGACTGGTACTCAAGGACGCGCTGACCTGGCTCCCACCCAGGCTTTCCAGCACCACCTGCAGGAGACAGAGCACCTCTGCAGGCGGGCCCTCCTCTCCCAGCACTGGGTGGGAGGCCTGCGCCCCCCGTCAGAGTTCAGCGGCTGCAAAGGAGGCCCCTCCCAGGACTGAGTCAGAGCCCAGACCCACCCGGGTCTCACCTGGCTGGCCGCCTGCCCAGCGCCCGCGCCCACGCTGTCGGCTGGGGTGGCGACTGTGGAAATGGACACACCAGAGACTGTGTTTTTAACTGAAAACCCAACCTCAGCCATTGGGGTGGCATCTGTCCTAAACCGAAGTTGACCTGCGTGGGCCCAGTCGTTTCGGAGGATCCGGAAAGATGTCTGCGAAATGCCCCCTGTCCCCTCTGCCGCCTCCCTCCAGGGCGAGACCTGCTTCACCCCCCCCGGATCCCGACGGCCCCTTGGGCCCACTCTCCACACCGCGG